AATCAAGTGTATTTTATACGGCATCTATTTTATCGTTCAACGGCGCTAGAAGGTCAACTTTCGAAGGACATGGCGATGGATGACGGGACGATGGGACGATAGAACGTCTTTCGAAAGTCGACCTTCTCTTCTTCTCTTCTTCGCTTTTATTAGGCACGTTTGTTAGGTCCCCACAATTTATGCGGTAGTCGTCCGTTATTTAGCATACCGTCTCGTCAAAAAGGCAACCGAATTATCGGCTCTAATTATAATACGCCATCATCTGGAACGACTTGTTCTGAAAGCGGAATCTGGTAGTACATGACTACAACGTCAACTGGTCTGGTGTGGTTTGGATTTGATAGCGACTCGTTCTGGATATACCAGTGCGTGGTCTATCTCAGGCGCTGGTCATTGCAGTGTGCGACTCGTCCTCGTCTCAAAACGCACACCAAAGCACATGTAGTCCCATGTATTTTGAATGGCATTTACTACGCCTGCTCGAGGTGCCACGCCGTAAAGGCGACCGCGCGCTCGGTCCAGAGATGGCCAAACTGCTTTTGGTCGACTTGGATCGCGACTTCAAAGAGGATCACGAGCCGGTGCGTGTTGAGGTACACGGGGAGCTTCCGGAGCTGCGTCGGGTCCATCTCCTTGACGGGGCGCCAGCTCAAGTAGCACGACGGCAGCGCCGAGTGCAGAGCGTCCGTGACTTGAAACCCGCCCTCGGGCGTCCAATCCATGCCTTCGAGGTGCAGACCGCGCACGGGGAAGCCACCAGTGTGCTCGTTGGTCAGTGTCACGACCACATCGAGTTCGTCGAGCGAGCAGTGGAGCTCGGCTGCAATCACTTGGCGCGTCGCCGTCAAAAAGGCCTCGGGCGAGAAAAAGCCACCGAGCCAGACGCCGCCGTGCAGCACGTCTTGAATCGGCAGCTGCGAGAGCGTTTGGAGCTGGCTCAGACGGCGCGCAAAATCGTGGAGCCACTCCAGCAGAGAAATGTCCTTTGGCACAACGTACGCGTCGAGCCAGTCGGTCGGCAGCACGCCCTTGTGCAGCGCCTGCATCGCGTCGCGGATCGCGTTGGACGGCTTGAGCGTGTTGGTGCACACGGCGGCAATGTCGGAGAGGAGCGACGTCACGCTATCTAGGAGTGCGTTGGCGACCTCGATCTCGCGGTGGAGGCACCGAAACACGGGGTTGCTAAACGCGGCCTGCGTCGACGTGATGGCCGACGACGGCAAGAGCGCACGCCACGTCATGACGCTTTGCGAGAGCGCCTGGATCCACGCGGGGCGGGCGTCGCCAGCGTTGCCAAACGTCATGGCCACATCGTCCGTCTCGAGGCCGTCGTCCATGCCGAGGCTGTCTTGCATGAGCGCGAGGTGTCGGAGCGTACGCGCGCCTTGATTGGTCAAGAGCATGCTCTCGGCCGAGCTCGGGAGGCCGAGCCACTGGGGCGAGTTGGCATTCGGCAGCGCGTGGATCCAGTCGGCAAACTGCTCTTTTGTCTTGCCCGACGAGACGACGACGCCGTCGACAAGCGCAAACGTGCTTTCGTAGCTCTCGGCGCAGAAGATCGTGTTGAGGAGCGTATCCAGCAAGGCTTGGTCGAACTTGTTGTCGACGCGGCCGCCGTACAACGACTCCTTGAGAATGACCTTGATCGCTGTCCACGGAATCGCGTCGGGCGAGATGTGCGCGCGGCCCCGCCCAATGCTGTCGACCCACGTGTCCATGACGTCGCACGCGCCCTTGAAATCGCTCTGGCTAAACTCGTACGCTTTCGACCACCCGATCGGGACGTAGCGCAACCGTTCTTGGAGCACGGCGTGGAACCACGAGAGGAGAAGGAAGAGCCGGCCGCGCTCGGTCGGCGCGCGGTTCACGCGCTCGGATGGCACGTCCAAGAACGTGCGGAGCATGCTTGCCTTGACGCCGTTCGGCGGCTCAAACACAAAAATGTCGCAGAGCCGAAGGAGGTTGAGCGGCAGCTGCGGGTGAATCTCGGACGTGAGGAAGAGGCGAAAGTCCTTGTGGCACGAGTCGCGCACCGAGTAGAGCTTCTTCTCGACCGTGAGCAGCCACGACGGGCACAGGTGCACGTTGCGCAGCAAGAGCCACGTGCCTTGCTTGATGGCCGTGTTGAGCGCCTTCTCGGCCGCGTCGTAGCCCTCCGCCGAGCCCATAGCGACCGACGCAAACCGCTTCTGGAGCGTCGCCGCGAGTTCGTCGACGCGGCCGCTCGCGTCAAAGCCCGTCTTGGAGCAGAGGAGGATGCCCCGCGTCGCCTCCGTCTCGTGCGCGACTTGGTCGGCAAACTCGACCTGCCCGCGCCACGGAAAGTCCACACCAAAGACGGCCACCAAGAACGCTTCGACGGCAAACGGGAACCGGTCCGGGCGCGAGACGGACACAAGCGCCATCGTCCGGAACGCCGCGCGGTACGGTGACGTCACGCCCACGTCCCAGCCCGTCGGCACGACCGTCTCAGGCGCCGCGTGACAAAGGAACGAAGCCCACTCGTCTTGGTTGGCCTCGAGATGCGCCGCGTTCGCCGCGAAAGACGCAGCGCCAAGCAACTTTCCGACGCGATCCCGCACATCATGTGCGACCGCCGTGAGCGCTGGTACAGCTTTGGCCCCGCCAAACCGCTGGAAGAAGACGTCCCACTCGGCCTGGCTCGGCACGTCGGCGCCTGCTTGGTGGTGCTGCAGCTCCAAGTACACCTGGGCGACGCGCAGCGCAAACATGAGCTTGTCGTCTTCGAGGAGGCCTTTGGCGACGCGGCGCACCATCTGCGCGAAAAGCGCGTTGCTCAAGAAGGCGAGGCGCCCGTCCGGGTCCGACGATGTCGACGTGAGCACGCTCGTCAGCATCTTGAGGAAGAACGCGAGCGAGTACTGGTACAAAAAGTGTACCGACCCGAGGTTCTCGAGCGTAAAGAAGAGCTGCGTGCACGCGTGCGCGAGCGGCTTGAACTTGTTGGTCGCGAGCTCAATGTTGGCCATCGTCACGTGCGTGTCGGCCACGTGCGCCGTAATGTCGGCCGCCTCGGCCTTCATGCTCTCGAGCGTGTTGATGACGCGGTCGTCGTCGAGAATGTTGCCCTGGACGCTGTTGATCTGCTGCAAGAGCGCGTCCTCGAGCTGCCGGAGCTTGGCGTTGTACTCGCCCTGTAGCTTGAGCAGCGACGAGCGCTTCGCGTCAATCTCGGGCTCTTCGCTCTTGAGCAGCAGCGCGAGCGCCTGCGACTCGAGCGAGCTCGGTGTGACGGTAAAGTTGACAAACGTCACGCGCGAGCAAATGTCGGGGGAGAAGCGGCAACTCGGGTCCCGCGTGATCAAAAACAGCCGAAAGTCGGGCGAGTAGTCGATCTCTTCGCCGGCGAGGCGGATCAAGACGCGGCCGCCCGTCTTGTACAGCTCGCGGTTGAGCACGGGGTTCAGAATCGGGTCAATGTTCTCGACGTCGTGCACAAGGAGCGCCGTACCAAACCGGATCGCGCTCGCGAGCACCTTCATAAACGACGCATCCAAAAACGACGTTTGCGAGATCTTGGTCGTTGGGTTGCTGTTGAAGAGGTTGATCATGAAACTCGCGGCTTGCCCCGACGGATCAATGATGAGCGGGAAGCGATGGAAGCGCGCGAGTACAATCGCATTTTCGACACAGAGCGTGTCGGACGGCAGATCCGACGCGGCCCACAAGAGTCGATCGGCCGGCGCCGAGAGGTACTCGACAAAGCTGAGGCCTTCCGTCGTCGGCACGCGCATCGAGACGAGAATGTCGCGCCAGTCTTCGACGAGCAGCTTGCGCTGCTGGTGGTCGAGGAACCCAAGGTACGTGAGAAAGCCCGCGCTAAGGAGCGTGTCGCCGACCAGCGTCTTCATCTGCGTCTCAAACTCCTTGGAGCCCGCCTCCCAGCGCTCGCGCTCGCTCAAGAGGTTCTCGAGCAGCGCCACGGAGCGCTCGACTTTCTTCTTGACCGTCGCCATGTCGCTCGAGATGAGCTGCGCCTCGGAAATGAGCGCTGCATACTCTTGCTTGTAGCTCTGGATCCGCGTCTCGAGCTGCGCAATCATAGCGGTTGCCTCCGTGTACTCTTGACGCAGACCCGCACTCTGGTCTTCAAGCGTCTGGACTTCGTTCCGGAGCGGCTGGATGCGGTGCAGAATCTCCGTGTAGTTGATCTGCGACACGACCCACTTGAAGAGCGGGCCGCACGCCTTGGACGCACGGTTGACCTTCTCGTAGTCAAACTCGTCCGTCTTGGAGAGGTAGTTGCCGTTGATGACCGCGCGCTGCTTGGCCGTGAGCTTCTCCGAGTCGAAATTGACCACGGACGCGATAAAGTCGTCCTTTCGGATAAACTTGCGCAGGTCGGCCCAGTCGAGCGCCGACTCGCCCAGCATGATCGCGACGGCTTCCAGCGTCAAGCGCACGGCGTTTGGCGGCCGCGCGAGCGCACGAATCTCATCGAGCTGCGTCTTGCGGATCGAGTTGACCGACGACTGTGCTTCGAGCAGCGCTGGCTCGGCCTGCGCGAGGTCGTGCTCGACGACGACCTTTCGCGATCGGATCTCGTCGTCTTGCTTGGTGAGATCGGCCGCGAGGCTCTCCGTCTCCTTCTTCTTCTTTTGCGCCTCGTTCTGCTCGACGACCATAAGTTGCAGCTTTTCGTTGGCTTCCACGTCCTTGCGCTGCAGCTCCTTCTCCTTGGCACCGAGCTGCGCCTGAAGCTCCGCGACTTGGTTGTGCGTTGCCACAATCTTCTCGACACCAACGTTGAGATGCAGCTGCTGCTCCTCGAGCTGGCCGCGCTTCTTGCCGTAGAGCGTCACAAAGTGCCGGATAAACTCGAGGTAGTCGCGCGGTGAAATGTGGTTGGCCTTGGCGTGGCGCTTGGCGAGGCGGTGCATGAGCTCCAGCACCGCGTGGTGGAACTGGACGATACTCCCGACGACCGCATCGTGGAACGTGTACGCCAAGTTCGGCGTCAGCGCGTCCAAGAACGCACGCGCTTCGCCCGGCATGACGTAGTCGGTCTCTTGAAAGTCGAGCGGCAGCGTAAACTCGGATGCGACTTGGGCGAGCGCGTGGTCCGACCACGTGCCAAACCAATCGACGACGCAGCGGTTGAAGAGCGCGGGCGACGTCTTGCTGCGGTTCTGAAAGTCGCCGGCCGCCGGGTTCATCGTAAACACCACGTGCATGTTGCGCTGCACTTGCTTGGTAAAGTACTTGAAGAGCTCGTCGTCCGTGTTCTCGATCGTGACATTGTCGCGCCGAATGGCCTCGCGACACGCGTGCATGAGCGACGTGTGCTCGTCGTCCTCGAAAAGACCCGGCACTTCGCCCGACGCGAGCAGCGCGTTCATGCGCTCGAGGAACGCCGCGTCGAGCACGTTGCTTTCGTCAAAGATGAAGCAGATGCGCTCGCCGTCGCAGCCGCAGCGCTTGAGCACGACGCGGAGGTCGTCGTCAAAGTTGGCCAGCGTGTAGTTGGTCGTGAGCTTGATCTGGAACACCGACATGCCGTTCATCCAGCTCACAAAACGAGAGAGGACGGTCTTGCCGGCGCCACTCTCGCCGACGAGAAGCAAGTGGCCGAGCGGCTGCCGAAGCACGCGGTCGATGCGCAACACGTGGTCGATGACCGAGTCAAAGACCACGAGCGGCACGTTGAGCTCCTCTTCGTAAAACACCCGGAGGCGCGCCTCAATATGCTTGCGCAGCTCCGACGTCGTCGCTTGGACGTAGTGCTTGCTGAGCCACGTGCTGAACCGAATCGGCTCGTGGTGGACGCCGACGCCCGTCTCGAGCGCGTGCGAGGGGCCAGGAAAGTGCGTCTGGAGCACCGACTTGGACGTCGCGTAGCACCAGTCGCGCTCGTCGGGCGTCACGAGGCGGTCCATAAAGAGCCGGAGACTCTCGTGGAAGAGGAGCTTGACCAGCGTCTCGACGTCGATCTCGTACTCGAGGGGCTCGATCGCCTCGTACATGGCGCGCATCCAGCGCGAGAGTTCGCGCGGCGAGTAAATGTAGTGCGGCTGCATCTCGGCCGTGAAGCGCGTCTGGTTCTTGTGGTACACTTCCACCATCGCGTCCGTCACGGGCACCTGGTACGCTTTCAGGCTCGGCGTGAGCTTCAGAAGCGCGCGGTTGAACGTGCCGTAAATCTGCTTGAGCGAGTTGTACGCGGGAAAGTCCACAAAGAGCACGGGCGCGTGCCGCAGAAAACGCGACGAGAGCGGGACACGACCGGGGTCCGTCGGCGGGTTGCAAGCGCCCACAAACTGAATGCGCTCGAGGTGCACCCAGATCTTCTCCTTCCAGAACCCGCCTTGCTCGACGAGCTGCCGGAGGAACGTCACAACGCGCTGCGTGCCGTACTTGTCGGCTTGCGGCAAGTTGATTTCATCGCAAAAGACGACGAGCCACTTGCCCGGCGCGTGCGGCATCATGATCGTGCCTTGGAGCGTCTTCTTGTACACGCAGTACTGCGCAAACGTCTTGAGAATGAGCTCCGGCGTCGTCCCCGACGAAAAGTTGAGACTCGCGAGCTCAAACTCGGGCAGCGAGTTCAGCGTCGACGTCAGTGTCATCGTCTTACCCGAGCCCGGCGGACCGCAGAGGATGAGGGGCTTGTGCTGCGCCAGCCAGCCGCGGAGGACTTCGACGTGGCGCACCGTATCGACCGTTGTCACAACCACGTCGGTCGAGAGCACGCGGTGGCTCTCGAGCTCCAGCTGCGGCACCGAGTAGACCCAAGGCACCCACTCGCCGTCCTTGACCTGCACCTCAAAGTCGAGAAGACTCGCGTTCTCGGTGCTGAGCGTCGGCAGCGGCACATTCGTGTTGATGCTGCTCAGAAACTCGGCCAATTTCACGCGGTGCGCAATGTCCATCGAGCCACCAAAGCCCCAGATGATACTAAAGACGAGCCACTTGGGCGTGAACGCTTGCACATGCGCTTCGTTCATGGGAAAGTCGCTGTGCGACTCGTTGTACTCGGCAATGTGCACGAGCCCCTTGGACAAGAGCGAAAACATGCTCATGAGCAGCCGGAGCCGGTCGACGTCCATAATGTGCGGCTGCGACATGGCAAACTCGAGGCAGTGAACAACGAGCGGTGACGTCGTAAACAGCGCGCGCGACGTCTCGGAAAAGATGCCTCGCGCTGCCGTAAAGTGGGCCCACTCGTCGTCCTGCATGGCAAACGTGGTTCGCAGACTGCTGTCGTTGGCGATCGACTGCAGAAAGTGGTCCACAACGTGCGACGTCTCGAGCGTATCGGTTGCGAACCACACCATGCCACAGCGACTCACAGTCGCGAGCGTCGCGTACTTCAGCGTCTCCGTCTCCATCATGATCCAGACGTTCGGCGGAATCTCGAGGCGCTCGCCCGATGGCAGCGTCAGAAGCCGGTTGTCGTCCAAGACCGAGTTGAGGTTCTCGGCCCACTCAGGGTCCACATCACCATCAAAGAGGATCCAGTGGCGCTTCTCGCTCTCGCCACGCACGTTGTTGAGGACTTGGCGCAGCAAGTGTGTAAAGACACCGTCCGACCATTCGAGCGTCGTGTTGTCGAGCGTGCCGTAGAGCTGCTCTTTCGAAATCGCCTTTGGGTCGATGACGTACGCCTCGCCCTTCTTGCCGTCAACGCGCTCCATGGCTTCTAGGAGCACCTTCCACGCGGTCGTCTTGCCCATGCCACTGGGACCGACAAGCATGACGCCATGGCGGAGCTGCATCACCTGGTAGAGCTGCAGCGCCTTCTCGACCCACTTGTCGTGCGGCACCAGATGCTTCGAGGTGGCAATCTCGACAATCTGCGCGCGCAGCTCGGGCTCGTTGACGCGGTGCACGTCGGTGCCGGGAAAGACACCTTGGAGCAGCGTCTCAAAAATGGCCACGTCGCTCGCCACGAGCTTGGGCACGACCGTGTCGCACACCGACCGGATGAGCGCTTCGGCTTCAATGTCGGCGATCGATGCGGTCGACGTCGCCGTCAAGTTGCGCTTCAGCTGGCCCGCCGAAACGAGCACCGACTTGAGCGCACGCAAGCCAAAGTCATAATGCGGCTGCTTCGAGAGCTGGTCCTCGCAGAGGTTGAAGAGGAGGACGACTTTGGCCGCCATGTACTCGGCCGTCGTGATGCCCTGCGAAAAGAGCATCACCTGTGCAATGAGCTCGCGGTCTGGCGCAACCATCGCAATACTGCGGAAGAGCTGCTTCAAGTTGTCCGGGAGGTTCGAGCGCCCCGCGTAGCCCGGGTTCATCGTCACAAAGATGCCAACGTCCGGGTGCAAGAGAACCGACTTGCCGAGAAGCTCAATGACGGACGACGTCGCCTCCGTCTTCTTGCGCTGGATGAGACCGCCTTGGATCGCCAGAATTTGCTGCGACACAGCCGAGAGCACGCGCTCCTCGAGGCGGTTGAACTCGTCAAAGCAGCCCCACGCGCCGACTTGGCAGAGACCGACAAAGATGCGGCCCATGGCTTGAAAGTCAAAGTTCTCGTCGCAATTGAAGACGAGCACAAAGCGCCCGAGTTGCATGCCGAGCATCTTGACCGACTCGGTTTTACCCGTGCCGGCGGGACCGAACGGGTTGCCACCCATACCAAAGTCCAGCGCTTGCGTCAGCGTCAGGTAGCAGCGCTCCGTGAGCGGCGTGTGCACGAGGCGTTCACCAACGCCAAGGTACTCGAAGCCGTACGAGAACGACGCGTTCGCAACGCAAATGCGCAGCTTCTTGAGCGGGTCGACTTCGTTCGGGTACATGTAATGGCGCATGTGGTAGAGCCACCGGAAGTCGTCCGAGCCAGTGAGCTGCGCCTTGTTGAGACGGCGCGTCACATCGCGCTGGTGCACAAGCTCCGTAATGAGCTGCTCGTACTTCTTCCGGACGTCTTGTGCAAGATCTGAGAGAACGCGCTCACTGAGGAGCTGCAGTAGCCCTTCGACGGCCGTGACAACCGCGCTAAAGTCGTTGCTGCGGCTCCGAAGAACAGCCTCGATCTGCTCCGTCCACTGCACCTGCGTCGCGAGAAGCACGATTTGGGCGGGAAGGCCGCAACCCAAGCGAGGTAGTCGCCGGTCGTCGCGAGCGCCTCTTCGAGCAGCGACGCCAGTGTCGATCGCATTTGCTTCTCGACGTTGGCGAGCCAGACATTGATGCGCGTGTCCTCGCTCGGGAGCACAGGCGTTTTGAGGCGGACGACCTCGCCCTCCTTGGAAACAAGACCAATGATCGCACCCGCGTCGTTCATCTCAAGAGCCGCGACACCGGCAAACATCTTGTTGAGATGGCGCTGGATCTGCTTGGGCTCCTTGCTGTTGCCAATCATTTCGAGCAAGTCTTCGTCACCGACAAAGTAGAAGCGGGGAAACGCCGCGCGCTGGCGCTCGAGATACTCGCCGAGCGCGCGCTGGATGCTGCCCATCATGTCTTGCTGGCGCTCGAGCGTGTGGAGCAAGTTGGGGATGCTCGAGACCTCGAGAATGAGCGGCTTGTGCGTCACGCGCTTCATTGTCGACACAAACTCGTTGTCAACGGATTGGAACCGCGCGTACTCCTTTGGCAGCTGCTGCTTGATGTCCGCCGAGCCAAAGAAGATGCCCTCGAGGTACACCCACCGGCGCTGGACGTCAATCCAAAAGTCAAAGATGGACCGAACGCGCGTGAGCTTCTCTTCCCAGTTCTCGGCCGACTCGGCAAAGACGCGGTAGTACGGGCTCTGCTTCATGCTCTGGAGACTGTTGAGGTGCTCGTCGAGCTTGGAGAACATGTCGTCCCAGCCCTTGATGATGCGGCACCGGTTCTGGTAGTTGACCAGATCCAGCGCATACGTCGTCCAGTGCTCGGCAACTTGGCGCAGGAACTCGTCGAGCGCCATCTCGCCTTGCGCCGTGCGGATAATGCTCTTGAGCGTGTTGTCGTGCGCCGCGAGTTTGGCGTCCCACAAGCTCCGCAAACTCAGCTCCGAGAAGGACGACTTGATGTTGAGGAGGCGCAAAATCTGCTTCCAGTGCCGGTCGCGGATCGCGTCCGACTTGAGGTCCGTCAGGAGACTGTTCGTGCTCTTGTACGACTGCATCGCCTGGAAAAAATAGTCGAACGCTTCGTACTGCTGGACGCGTGCGGGCAGCGCCTTGAGACCGTCGAGAAGCTCGTCAAGCTGCTTTCGGAGCTTGCGCGGCTGCACCGCCGACCACGGCGACTCCTTGAGCTCTTCCATGCGCGACCACGTCGCCGCCAGCGACGACCACACTTCGCGCAGACCCCCGAGCTCTTCCATCGTACGTTCGAGCAAGTCGGCGTCGCTTGACGAGACGTTGCCGCGCGAGACAAGGTTGAGCGCCTTTCGCGCCGCCTCCATTTTCTTGGTATCCTGCGCAAGCAGCGTCAGCTTGGTGTCAAAGAGCTGGATCAAGTCCAACGCTGCTTGGGGAAGCTGGGCGCCCTGGAGTGGCTTGGTCGCGTCCCACTCGGTCACGGTCGCCTCGATCTTCTTGGTCAAGACGTTGTGCTCATCCATAATCTTGGCTTGGAGCTGCGGCAGCTGGCTTTCCATCGCGTCCGTCTTGCGCTGAAGCAGCTGGAGGAACGCCGCCCACTCACCCTCGACGTTGGCGAGCTCGGGCCACGACGGCGGGAACTTGAAGCGCTGGCGCTTGAGCACCTTTTCGCCTGCAAGAAAGCCTTCAATCAAGAGCTCCCACTCGGGCTTGGCCATGCGGAGCTCCTGGATCATAGTGACCGTCGCGACGACCTGCGACGTCGCCGCTTCGAGCGTGTGCATCTCGAGAAGCGACCGCTTGGCCGAGATCTCCGTGTAAAAGGACGCAACTTGCGACGAGAGCATCTCTGCAAAGTGGGACAAGAACTCCGTGTGCCACGCGTCGTACTTGACGTTGACTTGGGCCTGGACCTGCTGAAAGTTGACGAGCATCGGCCAAACCGCTTGGTGTTGACGACCGTGTCAAACTTGGAGCGCTCGTCCTTGATCTCAACGAGAAGCTGCTGCCACTGGCCAATGTCGGTGCCAATCTTGCCAATCACGCGGCTCGCCTCCATGTCCCAGAGCGCTTGGTACTGCAGCCACGTGAGCACATACTGCTCCATCGCATGCAGGCACGTGTGCAAAACGTCGTACGAAGAGAGGAGCAGGCCCGGCGGAAGCATCTTGAGCACGTCTTGGAACGAGTTCTCCTTGCGTTTTGCGCGGCGCCGGCTCGGAGATGCGTTCGAGACGAGCGGCTGGAACGCGTCGTACGTCGAGCTCTGGATCTTATCCAGGTGGCAGATGCCCGACACGATCGTCTCGAGCTCTTGCAACCACATGGCCTTGGCCTGCGCCACCGACGGTTCGAGCACGAGAATCTGGTTCTTCAAAAGCACTTGGTGGACCTTCTCGGACACGAGCGCGCTCGGCGCCTCGGTCGTAAACGCGTGCACCCACTGCTGCAGCGCCGACTCCAAGCGGCCGCACAGCACGTTGCCGATTCGCGTGTTGAGCTGCTTGACGTACACATGGAGGTTGTTGTAGCCTGCGAGGTTGAGCTCGTCGACGATCTTTTGAATGTCACGTAGCGAGTCCCCAAACGTGGCTTCGTCGGCCGTCGAGAGCGCGTTCACACACGCCTCAATGTCGGTCTGCTTGCGCCAGAGCTCGTCAACCTTGTCGCTGAGCGTCTCGACCTTGGCGGCCAAGTCCAGGGCGTAGTCGCCGAGGTGGTCGGCGTGCCACCGAATCTCATTGTCCTTCGTAAACGTCTTGGCGATCGTCGTGCGCACTTCGCGGACGTACGAGGCGCTCAGCGTCTCGAAGCCTGGCTTGATGCGCTTGCACACATTGCTGTACGTCTTCAAGCTCGCGTCCAGCGACATGGCATGCGGGTACTTGTCCTTGGCGTCTTCGGCGATCATCTTGAGTGTGAACGGCACGCGGTACCCGAGCCACTCGAGGTTGCGCACCTCCTTGAAAAGCGTCACGATCTGGTGGTTGAACGCGACGCACACTTCGCGCTCAATGCCGTCCTCACCAGCCGACGACGGCTTGGCGACGATGTTGAGGATGATGTTGCGCACGTCAAACGTCGGGACGCTCACGAGCTCGGTCACCCAGTGATCAAAGATGGCCTGCGCGTCGAGCTTGGAGAGGAACGCGTCCGCGACCTGCTTGAGCGCCTTGCCCTCCACGTGCTGTTCCCAACCCTTCCCGAGCACGCTCTCGACGCGACTCAGAAGCATGTGCAGCTTGCGCTCAATCTGCTTGGACCACATGACGGCGCCCGCAATCGGCGGGATGTCGCGCAACTTGCTCATGCGCGACGCCTCCGAGTACGAGTAATGGGCACGGAACTTGACCTGGAGCTCCGTCACGTCTTCCTTGACGTTTTCAATCAAGCGCATTTGGAACTGCTGCACGGCGCTGCGGATACGCGGCCGGAAGAAGAGCGGGTTGTACTTGGAGAAGACGCGAAACATCTCATCGGCTGTCGACGTCGAGTTGAGGCGGTTCGTGAGCGACGCGATGATGCTTCCCTCGATGCGGTCGATGCACACTTCGTACGTCTTGCGCGCTTGCTTCCATGTCTCCGACCCGTCGACCGAGACATCGAAGGCATCAAGAGCGCTGAATTGCGCATACGCCGCGTTGATGTCCGTGAGCATGTCCTCCGAGCCGTCCGTCGTTTTCGAGAGCACACGTTGGATGACGACGCGGAGCTTTTCGTGCTGCTCGCGGAACTCATGAAGCTCTTTCATGCGCTCTTCAATCGCGAGGTGCTCTAAGCTCATATCGACGAGCGAGCTCACGCGGTCGAAATTCGACGTCCCCCGGCGCTTGCTGAGGTCCTTGACAAGCTCCTGGAACGCGTGCAGCTGGCGATGCCACGTCAAGAAGAGGTCGTGGCACTGCTTGGCGACCTCGTCAAACTGCTCGTACGACACTTGGATGAGGTTGTACGTGCGCAAAACGGTCGTGATCTGGTGCGCAAGATCGCTCGAGACGAGCTCGACGAGCGAGAGCACGCGCGAGAGCTTGTACTCGTCCGCAAGGCGCACCTTCTTGAGCTGCAAAAACACCGTGTTGATGCCACTCGTGGTCTGTGGGATGTCGGTGGCCGAGAGGATCGCGTTGAGCGAAAAATCCTTCATCAGGTTCATGACGCTCGAGACCGTCTTGAGCGCAGGTCCAAGGCCGTGGTCGGCCGCGAACGTCACCGTGACGAGGTACCGCTTCGCCTGCTTCAAGATCGCAAGCGTGATCTCCACCTCGGGCGACGTAAGCTTCTTCTGCGTCGCGAGCAGCGCGCGGTGCAAGTCACTCCAAAAGTTGATCTCTTGCGTCGCCGAGCCACCCACGGGTTCGTTGACGAGGCTCGTGACCTTTTGGATTTCCTTGATCCAGAGGTTGACGCCTGCTTGAATGTCGTTGAGGAACGCCGTGTCGTTGAGCCGATCCGAGAACCCGAGCGCGTCGACGTCAATGCTGCCCATCTGCTTGGAGTCGCGGAGCTTGTCGGCGGCGAGTTGAATGTCCGGGTGGATCTTCAAGTCGACGTCGGGGATCTCGACATTGTTCTGGAACTGAACCATCGCGACCTCGAGCTCCTTGAGGCGCTTCCGAATGAGCGGCATGCGCTTGCTCTGGCTCTGGCCGCCGTCGTCTTCTTGGCCTTCGTGGGCTTGCAAGAGCGGCGCGAACGAGTGCTGCACAAAGGTCACGAGCGTGCCAATGTCCTCGGTGCCCAGCGTCACGAGCTGCAGCTGCGAGTTCACAGACCCGTCGCGCGTGAGCTTGTCGCGCGTCTTGAGCGTCTTGATGAGGCAAAACGTGGGGACCTTCTGGCGCTTGGCCTTGGGCTTCTCCTTCTCGCCCGTCTCGAGCGAGAGCTTGACGCCGTCGCCGCTGTCCCGGCAGAGCACGCGGAGCACGCGGATCGCCGGGTCCGTGATGAAGTGGCGCAGCGTCTCCGTGTCCAGCCCAAAGTCGTCGGCGACGGCCTCGTTGTAGGCGCCGTCGTCGCCCCGGAGGCTCATGTGCTTCCCGATCTGGAAGAAGGATGTGCTGATGTCCAGGACAAGCTGCGCGAGGAAGGCCGTCTCCATCTCATGCTCGATGGCGACGCTCTCGACCGCGTCCCCTTCCATGCTTCCCCTTCGTCCTCTTCGACGCACGTCACAGAATACCTCACCCAAAAGATCCGCCCCATGGCAGGGTATACAAACACCCAGTGTTGCGTCGCCCCCCATATCCAATACTACATAACATCCCAATGGTCTATTCGCACGCCCTTCAAGCTGGATCGTTTGCGGCCTCAGTGTCCAAAATCCAGCTTAAAAGGCGTGCGAAAAGTCATATGCAACTCGGTGTCGACGATGGAGGCTAATTACACGGTACTTTACATAGAAAAGAACGCTCTCTCCTCGTCACGTTTCGCATTGGTTGGCGTGCGAATAGACAAACTTTGGGCCACGTTTTGTGATTCGCTCCCCATGCCTTTGGCGCGAAATGACTTGCCGATGCCAGCGCTGTCATCGCTGCACTTAGCCTTCGCTGTGGCTGCTACAGAGACAATGCGATCGATTGGAGAGCTCTAAAGTCCTTGCAGAGGTACTACTCTATACTGCGAAGCATACATCGACAGCGCGTCGTCTTTGTCGACGAGCTGCGAGCTTCGTGTGTCGCAAGGTCGCCCCCACGGAGGCGCCAAGTCGACGCTCTCGCCCGCGCCGACAGCCCCCGTGCTCTAGGTCTAGCAAGGACTCGGGCTGGAGAATGCGAATCCAGCCCTTGTTGGTCGGTATTTAATGAGGGTATATATATAAAGTGACATCGTTTCGGGCCAGTTTCAAGCATGGCGGACGCGGTCGCCGCGCCCGACGTCGACGGGACCGCGGTGCACAACTCGAACAGCGCGGCGCTGCATTTGCTCGACCAGTACGTCGAGGATGGCATGCTCACGCCGATGCAAGCAGCTGCGTACAAGGACAAGTACACCAAGCTGTCGTCGTATGTGCTGGAAACATACAAGCGCGAGAAGGAGCTGCTCAAGAAGGCCAAGCAGCTCAACGGCGACCTCCTCTCGGAGAAGATCCGGCTCGAAAAGCAGAGCATTCGCAAGAGCGAGGAGCTCGCGATGAACTCCAACTTGGAGAAGGAGAAGGAAAAGGCCAGCAAAGAGCTGGCCGACTGCGTCGACCGCGAGACGATCTTGACGTACGAGATCACCGAGCTCCAGCGCGAGCATGCCGAGCTCCTTACGCGCAAGGAAGACATGCTCGCCGAGAACGCGCGCCAAGTCGAGCCCGAAGTGCGCAAGATGACGGACGAGATCGCGCGGCTCGGCGACGAGGCCGCGCGCATCTCGGTCGACATCCAAAAAGAAGAGCGGCGCAAGAACGACTTGGTCGCGCGCTGTGAAAGCTTGCGGGTCGCCAACGATGCGCTCGATGCCGCCAACAATGCCGAGAAAAAAGTGCTGGCCAAGCTCCGGGGAGACCCCGAGCGCATCGCCAAGCAAGCCGACGTCGTCGCGAAAGCGGTCGAGAACCTCGAACACGAGATCAAGCGCCTGCAAGACCGACTGGTCATTGTGAATGCGCAGTGCTCGGCCCAGGACGAGAAGCGCAAGGAGGCCGACGACGTCCAGAAAGAACTCAACCACAAGCTCGACGTGCACCGAGATACGATCGACCAGCGCCAGCGCGACGTGGACCACGTGAGTTTGCTCCTCACGGACGAGCGGCAGACGCACGCGACGCGTCTTGGCGATCGCGCGCGGCTGGATCTCGCACTGCGCAGCGCTGAAATGACGAGTCGGCGCGAGACGGACCGGCAGAGCTCGCTCGTCAAGGAGTTTGACCGGCTCAAGAAGACACTCAAGAAGAAGATGGTGCAAGTCGACAGCGCCAAGAGCCTCTTGCCCAACTTGGAGGTGCAAGTGACGGACGCCGAGCACCAAGTGCGCGCGATCCAAGCCGAAAACAAAAGATGGCCGCCGACCACGTCGACCTCAAGCAAGACGTGGACGTGCTCATTGCGCGTCTCTTCAAGCTCGACACGATCGAAAAAGCAAAAGTCGACGAGCTCCAATCGCTCTCGCAGCGGGTCAAGGACTACGAGACCGAGCTCGGCCAGTGGGTCGCGGAGGAGGCCAAGCAGACCAAGATCCTCGCGCTCCTTAGCGCCCAGCGCGAGATGAAGGCGCGCGCCGCCTCGACCGCGATCGACAATGAGAAAGCGACGCAGCAAGAGCTCAAGATGAAGGAGCTCGTGATCCTCGACTTCGCGAAAAAGTGCAACGAGACCAACAACCGGCTCAAGGAGTTCTCGGCGCTCTACGACATCGTCAAGAACGAGCGCAACAAGTATGTGAATTTGATCCAAGCGAGCTCGCAAGCACTGGCCGAGATGAAGGAGAAGATCAAAATTCTCCACAACGAAGTCGAAGTGCTCCGGAACGAGAGCTTGGCCAAAGACAAGGCGCTCACGAAAGAGCGGCTCGCGCACCAAACGGCGCAGTGCAGCCGCGACAGCCTTCGCCTCGACACCAACAAATGCCACGAGCTCTATCGCATCAAGCAAGAGCAGGTCGAGCAGCAAATCGTCCAGATCGACAAGCTCAACTCGATCATCAACGTCACCGAGAAAGACATGCTCCGGCTCAAGAAACAATACGAGATCGCAGTCGAAGCGCGCAACTCGACCGGCGTCCAGCTCATTGACCGCAACGACGAGCTGTGCATTTTGTACGAAAAGTGCAACATCCAGGCTAAGACGCTCACGGACGGCGAGCTCGCGATCCAGGAGAAAGAGCAGCAGAGCCGCATGCTCCACATCAAGCTCCTTGACATGGAGCGGCAGATTGAAACGATCCGAAAGAAGGTGCCGCTCGTGCCAGAGTACGCGAGTAAGGTCCTCTCGATCCAGCACGAGCTCAAGCAAGAACGCATTGTGACCGAAATGATGTGTCGCGACCTCGAGACGCCCAAGAACGCCGAGCGGTGGCGGCCCCTCGACGGCGACGACCCGGACGAGGAGCAGCTCAGCGCCAAGCTCGCGTTCCTCGAAGATCGGTTCAACCTCAAAAAGGAATGCTGCTCGAGAAGGAGCTCGTGCTCGAAGAGGTCACCAATCTCTCGGACAAGCTGCGCGCGCAGGCCGCGGACGGCCGCGGCGACACGCTCCAGCTCGCCAAGAAGGTCAACACGTTCCAGGTCAAGATCAAGGAGACGACGCGCAAGATGATGGCGACGGTCTCGGAACTGTCCATGTTTCAAGCGACGGCCATGAAGCTCCAGCAAGAAAAGCACGACCACGAAGCCGCGTTCGCCGAAGCGCAATGGAACTTTGAGAACGGTCGCGCGCCCAACGCGCAGTGCGAGCACGAGTGGTACCGACTCGAGGCCGCGCGATTGGCCCGCGACGACCGCCGCGCGCTCACACCGCTGCTCGTCCCGTCGCAGATCACGCGCACGACGGCCGAGCCGCGCCCGAACGCGTACGTGCCGGACGAACTCGGCATTCCCAAGCCGTATGGCGGCGCGGCGCCGTTCAAACCCACGCTCACAGGCTCCACGATGCGTCATATTCGGCCACCGCAGCGCCGCGACATTGAAATATAATCGATCGATCTTGTGAGTAGCCTCGTATCAAGCATCGAGGAATGCAAGTCGAGTGGTAGGACGTTTTTCGTAGGGCATCACTCCTTCGTGCCGCTTAGACTTCGGGGCCGCTAAAGATGGCGTCATCCTCGTCGTTCGTGAGCCAGGACTTGGCCATGCTCGAAAGCGCTTCCAAGCGAGTCGCAATCGGTGCGTCCGCCATTGCCTCCTGGGGTGGTCGTGGTTGTGGACGCTCGGACCCGCTGTCGGTGCGCGAGGTTGGTGGCTCGATCTCGACCGACCGAGGGCGCGGCTTCTTCTCCTACATGGTTGGTTGAGTCAACAAGCGACGAAGGGGTGTCGGCACACCTGGTCCCGCAGCGTCGCGAGCAGCGCATTCCGTTCCCGCCGCACCTTCATGAGCTCGGCATCCCTACACGAGCGTGACAACGACTTCGAGACACGGGCGCGCACCGCTTTTCCAACTTGCGCGTCAGAGACTCGACCTTGGCCGACTCGTTGGCCTCGGCTTGGTCTTGGGCGCGGGCCCACTGCCGCTCGAGCTGGCGAATGTGCAGCTCCTGCTTCGCATTGTCTTTTTGCAGGGTGCGCACTTGGTCGAGTAGGTCCTAGGAGATATGGCGATCGCGTGCGCGCATCTGAAGCGCTGGCGCACCTCCATCTCAAGCAGATGATCGCTCTGCGTCTTTCGAAGCAGCGCATCCTTCTCGGCCACGCGTCGGTCCCATTCGATGCGCTGGTTTGAGCACTGCGCCTCCAGCTCGCGCACTTGGTCGGCATGTGCGGTTTGGAGCTGCGAGAGCTCCGCCTTGACCTGGGCGAGCTCCGTCTCACGAAAGACGCGTGTCGTCTCGGACTCTTGCATCGTTGTCTAAATCGAACTTGAGGTTCGCACGAGGTATCGCAGTACGACGACCTTGAGTGCCGCCAAAGCACGTGCGAGATCGTCCGTCTTGGCTTGCCACTGGCACTGCACCTTGACGACGCGTCCTTGGAGCTCCCGCGCGTCTTCCTACATGCTGAACTGAGCGTCGTCGAACGCGGTGCGCGCGAACCTGAAGACGGGCGACGAGAAAGGCACGCTCGTGTTCGAGCTGACGCGCGTGTGCTTCCAGCGCGTCACGCGGCCACACGCCAAAGTCGACAGTCGGTCGACGGATCACGTCATCATGACTTGTCTCGTCAAATGAAACAGGCACGTCATCAACAGTGACGACGTCGGCCATTGGCACTGGCGCATCCGAGAGGTCGGGCAAAAACACCAGAAGAAACTCGCCCCACGTCCAGTGCACGGTCGCATGCGACGTCGGATACAACGACCTCAGCGTTGTCTCCATTTGCTGGGTGAGCTGCGCGAGGACGGCGGGACCGCCGACAGTGTTGCGCACGCAGACATCGCGCCTACCTCCGGAATCGTATCCTTACACTCTTGCATGACGTACTTGATGGTTTGCAGGTACTTGGCCGCGTGCACCAAGCCCGTGTCGTACGGATCGAGGCGACGAAACGCGGCGCGAAGGACCTCCTCCATGCCGTTGCGAAGCCGCACGGACTGCATCCTGGGCTCGTCATCAGCGGCTCGAGGGCGCTTTTGGAGCCGCTTGATCCACACACGCTTGTCCGCTTCGATGGCTGCTTGCTGGTTGCGCAGACGCACATACTGGCGCTGGAGCGCTACCGAAGCGAGCTCGACCGTCCGCAGTAATCGTTCCAGTCGCTGGTTGTACTCGTGCAGGCGTGTGAACGCGTGCTCGAGCTGCTTCACCAGCCCGTCGTCCTATCAATGCTAGTAGGGAGGCATCAACTCTCGTAGAGGTACCTGGTGCAAGGCCAATACAGCGTGGCTCGTCGCTCGCAAATGAGCTCGCTCGTCTTGGAGCCGCGTGACCGTTTTGGCCAGCTTGGCCTCGGTGAGCGCCTTCTCTTGCCGCAGCTGCGACGTCTGGAGCTCATGGAGCTTGATGGCGGCGCGTGCATCCAGCAATCGCTGCTCTAACGCTTGGTTCTGCTGTGTCGTGTGCGCTAGCTGCGACTACAGAGAATGGCGGTGCGTATTGAAGGATCGCTTAAGAGAATCTACCTCGATTGAGAGGTGTTGGCTGGATGCACGCTGCTGCACAGTGTATTGAAGGGCCTCGGACCGCTTGGCGGCCACGAGGAGCTCGAAGACTTTGGTGCGCCACTGCGTGAGGAGTCGTTCGTACGTCGGTGCCGATCCTGGTCCTGCTGCAACGACGTGCGATTCTTGGAGTCGAAGCACTTCTTGCAGCGCAGATACGCGGTCTTGGAGCAAAGCGATCGTCTCGTTGAAAGGTTCGACGGTCAGCGTCTTGACACTTTGATTCGGCACCGACGCTGGCTCTGGCATGCGCAATGTAGGACGGTAGCTTGGCCTCTCGGCTACCTCGCGCGCCTCTCTAGCCGCTTCCTTCTCTGCGGCAGTCAAGGGCCTACACCAAGCGTACTTCCACATTGTGAAAGGTACTCGCAGAGGCGTGTACGTGTCATCGAGGGTCGTCACTTGCGGCAGCTTTGTCGCGACGGCAACGCGGTAGTTGGGCGACTCGTCGAGGCGAAAGTTGCCCTATGCGCCGTTGCTGAGGTTGGTACGAGCTGTAGGTACTGCTACCTCGAGCGTCAAGTGCGTAAGGAGCGGCAGTCCACGGAGCGCATCGAGCTGGTCCATGTGCTGTAGGTCGTTGTACGCGAGATCGAGCTTGGACAACGCGGTCGCCGAGCGCAGCCACTCGAGAGACTGACTACACGCACAGTGCTAATAGATATCTGAGACCAAGTCGTACATGCGGTTGTGTGCGAGGAGGAGGTGCGCGAGCTGCGGCAGCTGGCGGGCAGCGTCGGTGGCAGGCACGTGAGCTGGTTGTGGCTCAGGTTCAGGCGGCTCACGTACGCCAACGCCGAGACGTCGCAGTCGATCGCGCGGATCTCATTCCGCGACAGGTTGAGGTTGCTCAAGGTCGGGTACTCGGCCGCGATCTCGCGGACGAGGTCCGGCGTCAAGCGCTCGAGTGGCATTTCGACGCCTTTTTAGCCAATCAGCTTCCGCGACCACCACAAGATCGTGGCAATCCGCTGGCAGAAAGGCCGCTGACTACGTGCAGCAGGATGGACTCGACCGGTCTCTTGCTTGAAGAAAAGCGTGGACGTTGAAGGGCTACATGTGTGGTGGGAGGTACCGTAACTGCGCAGCGTGAACCAGCGGGTGGCCAGCACAAGTCTCCAAACTCCTTGGAGCGTCCATTGGGCCCTTAAACGATTGTCGACACCTGCGAATTCCCGCCGAGTTTCGTCGTGAGAGAGGACGTGTATTGCCTAGCGTTTCGTGCTGCAAGCTTCTCCGACGTTGCGCGCGAACGCTGGTTTATTCGCCTTCAATCGACGTGTCTACTCGTCCTTCTCAACATATTCAAGCGCCTCGTTCTTGCTCAGCAGGGGTCTCGTCACGATCCTCTGGAGAGCAAGCCAGATCGTGACCATCGCGCCGAAAATGGTCCACCTTTGTGCAGCGCTTGGGTGCGTTTGCGACACCAGCTTGAAGCCACGGCGACAGGCGACCCCAACGCCATTGCTGCATCAACCATGGTGCGGCGTCCTTGCGACAGCCACGAATCACGTATCGTCCCACTCTCTTTTGAGCGCCGCCCAACGTTCCGTCCTCTGCCAAGTCAATGAAACAGCTGCGCACGCCAGATTGCTCTTCAGCCAGCAGCCATGAATCAATCTTCCGTGGCGCGAGACGCTCGTTGCCTTGCGGGAGTGAGGCCTCTGCGATTTCGGGTCGCCGTGCATATAACGGGCGGGCGCAAAGACAGCACGAAGCGACGATTGCTCCAGTGCCACCGTGCGCCTCTGCTGCAACGGTTGGACAAAAAGCAGCCAGCCGGACGTAGTACAGTACGATTCGGGAAGCTCGGTCAGGTTTCTAGTTGGCTCTTACGTCGTTGCGCTCCTGTGGCGCTCAACGTGGCGCCCACCAGCGTGCGCAGTTTCGTAGTGCATGTAGCATGGTGGACTGGGCTGGATGGTCGGACCAGATTGTTACCAGATCCAGATCCGTAGCGCGACCTTGCTGTGCGACGTACTTCAACCCAAAGGACAAGAATAAGTTAGCTTAGTTTACAGAGACGGCCTACGCCGCTGCCCGCCGCGTGTCCAAGTACAGGTTGAGAAACATGTCGACTTCGTCGCGGTTCCACTCGTCCGAGACGCGCGGCGTCAACGGCTCATAGTACGTCGCGTCGTCGTCGTCGAGGCGCAGCTGCAGGTGAAACTGCTCGTCAAACGTGACGGGGTCGGTCGCAATGCTGTCGCTGCCGCGGCTGTGCGCCTCGACGTAGAGCTCGTGCTCGACGAGCGACGGGCGCTTCGGGCTGTACGGCGTGAAGCGCTGAAAATGCGCGGTCGGACTGCGGGGCGTCGGGGCCATTGTTGCTTTTGGAGTCTTGCGCTCGAGGCGGTCAATTGGATTATGGCACGCCAGGACGGAATCGTGCTCGGCTCGTTACAGCTGCGGCTACTAGAGTAGCACTTGCACTCGGAGGCAGGAGGAGGAGCGGGCGGTAGCTGGCCCCACAAGGTGCAAAGATGCCAATCTGCACCGTCTGGTGTGTTCTCTGTCCACGCATTGAGCGTGCTTATGACCCGACAGACGTGACCAACGGACGCGTGGCCAGCAACGTACGGCCATGACGTCCAAGGTGGCAGTGCGCTGCACCCAAGACGACCTCACATCTCGTGCCCACGTCGCTCCGATGCGGTACCTGCGCGCGCGAGCTGCGCGCGCGGGCGGAGAAATCCTGGCGAATATATTCGCTGCGACACACTGCAAAGGCGGCAAATACAGTGTATGGAGAATTCGATTTTGGCGAAACGGCGCGCGAGAAACGATGCACGCGCTGCGCAACTTCGTGCTCGGCGTGCTCCAGGAGGCGTCGTCGCGGCAGCTCCAGCACCTCTCGGAGACGCTGCGGCTTCCGCCGATGGCCACCAAGGCCGACGTCCTCGCCGGTATCCTGCACCTCATCGAGCTCGACCGCGACTCGGCGCTGGGTACACTGTATCCAAGCACGGACCAGCTTCAACGTGGGCTTCTAGGGATCTTTGTGACATGGCACCAGACGGCGGTCGCGGGCGACGACCAGGTGATCGCGCCAACCGCGTTTGCAAACGCGTTCGTGCCGATCCCGGGGTCCTCGACCGAAGCGATCGAGCCGCCAACGTCGCTCTTTGGGTTCGAGCTCGACGAAGAGCTGAGTGTTCTTGCGCGCGACGTGAGCGTACTCGAAGCCGCATACAAGGACGCCGAGGTGCACGTACACAGTGGCCGTGCGTCGTACGAGAAGATCAAGCGCTTCCTCCAAACACTCACCCAAGTAAAACGACGCGGCATATCGGGTTAGCGTGAAAGCATTGCAATATGTACTAGCTGCGCGCCAAGGACATCGAGTTCCGGCGTCTCCTCCTGCAGAAGAATGACGCACTCCGCAAAGACAATGCGCGCCTGTCCCGCACAGAGACGCACACGCGTGCGCAGCTCGAATTTTTCCTCGGCGGCTGCTCCCGCCTTCGTTCCAAACACGATGCACTCATTGAAGACGTACGTACAAGTAGCCAAGAACGACACCTCTTCCTCGCCTCTACGCATAGATCGCATGCAGCACGGCAAGCGACGACATGGCGACCCATGTCCTTCTCGAGCTCTACGGCGGCGAAGTCGGTCTTACGCACGTACCACGAATCTGGCAGTATTTCTGAGTTTGCCGTTTACCGCAGCTTGTAGGTGTTGACGCGCACGTTGGAAGCCAAGTGCGCGCACTTGAGCGCCACGTGCGCGAGCTTGGACGCGGCGCATGCGACCATTGCGTCGCTGCACGCAAAGATAGACGAAAAGAACACGCTGTTCGCGACGCTGCAAGCGAAATGGGACGCTGCGGCCAAAGACGCGACGTGCGCCAAGTTCCAGCTGCGCAAGTGCAGGAAGCGGCTACGCGACTCGAACGCCGACGCCGCGACCGTCTCGCACCTGCGCTACCACTGCCTCCAGCTCCAGCGCATGGTTACGGACCTTCTCAGTGTCAGTCAAATCCACGCGCTCGCGCTCAATGACGCCAAAGCCAACTTTACGAAGAGCACCGAAAAGAAATCCATCGCGTGGCGGGTGCTGTCGTATTTGCGCTTCGTCTCGGATCGACGCCTCGACCCGTCCGTCGCGAGTGTGCCACCTCACTTCCCATTGATCGTGCCGCCGCCAAGAGCGCGCAAGGACGTTCGCGACACACTACCGATCGTCGTTGTGCTCGGCATGTCGTCGCTCGTGCATCAAGTGGTCCTGCGCTTGAGCAGCCAGTTTGGCTACGCCCATTTTGACGTGGACGAGTGGCACAGGGGGCTCATCCCGGTCGACCCTGAAACCCCCGACGACGGAGAGAGACCGTTGGATCTTCCCCGGTTGGCCCGCGCGGTGGCTGACACGCCCTATTGTCTCCTCCACGACCACGCGTTTACGACCGACGACGTCCGGCGGCTCATTCAGCACGGCTGCCGCGTCGATATGGTGCTCGACTTCAGCTCCGTCGACGCCGACGCCGCGTGGCGTCGGCTCCCGTTGCACACACCGCTGCACCCGTCCATGGTGGGCCTGGACTCGGTGTCGTGGTCGTCGGCAGACGCCATGGTGGCGGCGGTCGCAAGCACGTGGCAGCGCCGCGTCGCGTCGGCAGGGGCGACGATCGAGTGGGATCCGGTCACGCGCGGCTGGAACGAGCGCTGTGCGATGCTGGCCGAGGAACTTGGCGCCAAAATGGCGGTCGTCTGGGCCGCCCATCAAAAGTCCGTCACCGAAAAGCCGCGGCGGCAGCGGCTGTCGCGGCAGCCAAGAAGCGGTCCAACACACCGGCAAAGAGTCGATCGCCCACACCTTCCAAGCCCGGTCGCAGTGACCCTACGGGCAAGAAGCCGCCGGCGACGAGAGGCAAGGCAACTCCTGCCAAACCGACAAGCCCGGCGAAAACGCTGGCCACACGGACGACTGCGGGCAAGGGAGCGACACCCAAAAAGCCCGTGTCGCCGCCCAAGAGCCCCGCAGTTAAGCGCGCGCGGTGAAATGAAGAGTCGTTGTACTAGAAATCTTAGCATCGAACAGCGCGGCTGGACTGCGCACTTAGCGCGGACGCGTCGCGTTGGCGTCGGCAATGCACCTTAGGAGGTCGTTGTGGATATGGCCGTTGGATGCGACGATGTGGCGCGTGTGGAGGTTGAACGCCCCGCCGACCGAGTCCGTGACCGCGCCACCAGCTTCCGTGACGAGCAGCGAGCCCGCGGCGACGTCCCACGAGTTCAAGTCGAGCTCGAAAAAGCCCTACGCAGTCATATCTATCTCTTTCCGTCCATGTAGGTAATGTACGTACCGTTTGGCGACCGCAGCTCGTCCACGCGAGCTCCAAGGCGGCGGCGCCCTGCAGACGCAGCCCACGGCACGTGTTGGAGAATTGGTGAATGACGTCCAGCATGGGCAAGCGCACGCTGGGCTTGGTGCCGATGCCGAACCCGACGAGGGCTTGCTCGAATTGCGTTTCTTTCTGGCTCACATGGATCGCAACGTCGTTCAAGTACGCGCCATGCCCACGCATCGCGCTAAAGAGCTCGTCGCGGTACGGATCGTAGATGACACCGACGACCACTTGACCACGGAACGCGACCGCGACCGAGACGACGCTCGCGGGGCGCGCGTGGACAAAGTTGGTCGTGCCATCGATCGGGTCCACGACCCAGAGCCATTCGGCGCCATCCATGGCCGCAATCGCAGCGCGCGACGCGTCGCTGCCAGCGGCCACGTCTTCCTCGCCAAGCAGGCGGTGCGTTGGGTGCTTGCGGGCCACATGGGTCGCAATGAGCTCCTGGCACTGCTTGTCGACGACCGTGACAAGGTCATCCTTGTTACTCTTCGAGACCGCTTCCGTACCCAGGTGCAGGCGCATGTGCTTACCCGCGAGGCGCGCTGCCTCCTTCGCCGTCGCCAGCGCTTCCCACGCCGTCGTTGCTTCCATCCCCTTGGAGGATTACTTAGATGTGCGGATGTAACACGCGGTATCCTATCACACCTCTGAAATTACATATTCAAAAACGGAAACCTCCGTCAACGCATAGATTCGGGTGTCGCGTCGGTGGGATCGCTACACCGTGGCGCGTGTGCCTTTGGTCCAACGACCGTCGCGCGCGGCTGGCATGACACGCCACGCGCCCGAGAGGCTCGTCGCAGCTGCTTTTCTCTGCGTTGGCTTCAAATAGATACAAGCGCTGCCATCGATGGTAGTGCACGGGACACGGAATCTAGCACCGCGTGGTAGTACGCTGGATGGGTAATGCGCTGTTCCTGGAACAACGAGGGTGGCGCCGTCGCTTTTTAGGGTATTGGTAACCAGGTCACAAAGCAGCCTCGACCCCAGCACGTCCATGGTCCGAGAGCCCTCTCCACCACCTCCAGTCGATGGTCCATGACGAGAATGATGTTGAGCTTTGAGACTATTCTGTACAATACATTGTAGTGTTATGCTCGCGGGTCCTGGTAGCCCAGTAGCACCTCCATGAGGCAGTTGGTGCGCGCAAACGAGCCGAGGAGGAGCTCGGACATTGTGAGCTCGCTCTCGAGCACGCTCTCACTGGTAAGGACGTCCACGTACGGGATTCGGAGCGCCAACACGTGCCGGACAACGGTGTCTGCTGGCGTCAGCCCGTGGCCGAGATGAATACTAGTTTGGATCGTCAATACGAATCATCATGCGGACGTACAGGATCGTGTCGTCCGAGGTCCACGTGCACGGCGAGGGCGGGTGGACAGGGTCGTAGCCCATCGAGCGAATCACAAACGTCGTTGCGTGCGGCTGGAGATAGCGCTTGAGACCGTAGTTGCAGCGAAACAGCGGCAGGCCCTCCGAGGCGACGTGGAAGTGGTAGTAGATCGTATTGGCGTCGACCGTCTCAAGACGCTAGGCGTGGGATGCTGTACCGCCGCAATGACCGTCGATCAACGCACCTGTAATGTGATTTCAGGTGTCACGAGGTCAGTGGTGAGCACACGCCAGACGCGGTCCGCGACGGACGCCATCGGCTCGGTCCACGCCGCGACGCGGGTGCTCGTGAGAGAAAGGACATCGTGTGGCTCGTCACCGACCGTCACATAAGCGAACGAGCCAGTGCGTATGTCCAAAATGTTGTGCCGAATGAGCGTGGCTTCGAGGCGAGAAAAGGCGTCGTCGAGTCGGCGGTGCATCGCGGCGGCCCGCTCAAAGATGCGAACGGGCAGCTGCGCTTCGTCGTACCACGCGTCGGGCTCGGCCGTGGCCTATGTACTGTACACACGCCGAATCTTGGCTAGACGACGCACCGGTCCGTGCTGGAGGAGGAGCTGTTCGAGAGACCGTGCGAGCTGGAGCTGCGTCTCGACTGTCGCTTTGAGCCGACTGTTTTCTTGCAGCGCAGAGTGGCTCTCGCTGGCTTGGCGGCGCGCGATAGCTTCCCAGCCTAAATCGCTCTCGCAGGGCGCAGCCTTGGCATAAAGCCGCTTAACCTCGGCCTCGAGCGCGGCGCATGTCGCCCGAAGGTACTTGAGCTCGTCGTAGTTGCGCTTCTTCTTTCGCGGGGCGACGCGTGTGCTCATGGGACTCGAATGGTTGCTCGGCGATGCGCGCATGAATGACAATAGATGTCCTTGGTGCTGTACGCTTTAGCAGTGTCCGCCTAGCACGCGAGTCCTGGCGCCAAAAGAGTCAAAAGAGTCGCGCAAAGAATGTCGGTCCTTACCGAACACAGCCGAAGAAGTTGCACGTGGGGCCGGAAGTCGGGGTTCCACTGTCGCGCCACTACCGGTAGTGTGGAGCTTTTCTCCACCACCGTCCAACGGCGAGCGTTTCACGTTCTCGGTCTCTCGTGGCGCCACGTATGTGCCATTTCAAATTTGTGCAATCTCAAAGGCAAAGTGGCTGTACAATTTAGAGGAGGTCCCACGGCCGTCCCTACAACGAGCAAACTGAGGAGCGGTGGTGCCGATGACTCAGCGTGAGGGCTTCTTCTTCAAGCTGCGCATCTGTGGCAGCACATGGCGGACGAAGCGAGTACATGAGAAAGGCCACCCAACAGTGGAGGCAGCCGCAGATCGTTCTCGTGCACAAATTTTGCACAAGTGGTATCTTCGTACGTCTCTCTCTGGGCGTCTGTCTTATAGTTGTGGTATTAGTTCTAGTTAGTACAAAACCGCTTTCCTGCATCGCGCTCGCTCCGACCACGAGCGCGGAAAGTCGAATAAATAGCAACGGCTTAGATCACAAGCACGTCCATGGCACCCGGGTGCGTCGCCGGCTGCTTCGCGAGCGCGAACGTCAAGTAGCACGGCTTCGTGGGCTCCTTTAGCATCGACTCGATACGCGCCATGCTGAGGTAGACCGTGTGAATGTTGTTGATCGAGTGGAGCTCGTAGGCGTCCGAGACTCCGGCTTGCTCGAGGGACCCGCCGGGGTGAATGCTGCGGACCATGACGGGCTTGGGGCACTGCGCAAACTCGAGCACTTGCGTCGCGCCGCTCTGATGGCCGTTGTGCATGAGCATCGTGAGCTCGTTGTGGTTTTCGGGCGTCACAGTCGCGCCATTGACACGCAAGAGGACGCAGCCCGACTTGACCGGGAGGCTCTTGTCCACTACACGCTTGACGATCACTTGCTTGGAGAAGTACTCGAGGCCGAGAATGAGGCCCATGGGTCCTTGGCGCCACTCGTGCCGGACGATCGGCGTCGTGGCTTCGTCGCGGTGCAGCTCGAGGCCGAGGCTCTCGCCGCACCAAATGTACTGGATGATGTGCTCGGGCCCGTCGTACTCGCCGGCGTACGTGCGACTCGAGATCGCAGGCGACGCCAGCACCATCGTCGACATGCTCGTCCTCTTGGGTCGTTGGCGGATTCGCAAATGGTCGGCGCCGTGGCCATCACCACAGTGGCACTTGCACGCGCCCCCGCCGGCACTGGTTTGCGGCACGATTGCCGGATAATCGCATTGAAATCGGCATGTATGCCGGATACCACAACAAAAATCGGCAGACGCCGCACCGCACTTGGGTGTCTGCGACAAGCGCGACGTGAAAGTTGAAGGCAGCGCGTCAATGGCCGTCGAACGAGTGGAGGCGGGCGCTGCCAATGAACTTTGTCCCATGAAAAAGCTCCACGTACACTGTAGTAGTGCGTTCTGCCAGTTGCGCCGCGTTGCCATCTGCAAGCGTCGGAAGAAGAGAAGATGCGGCTGCCAATGGTGATGATGCTGCCTTAGCCGTCCGTCAAGTCAATCAAGTTGTCTGTGGTTGGCGCGTCACGTGTCGCAGACGACGACGACCCCACGATGACGAACACGTCGCGGGCGCAGTTGGCACCGACGATAGCGTCGACAGCGGCAAGGGTAACGGGCGGCGTTAGGGCCAAGACTGCCTCGGCTTGCGCGTGCTTCCAGAGGCTGCACGGTGGCACCCGCCGCGCATCGCTCAACTTCTGTCGAAGCATCGTCAAGTGGAGGCGTCGGTCGTCCTCCACTTGGCATGGCAGCGTCAAGCGTGGGACATCTTCGAGGTCGCCGCGCAGTACCTTGGCCGCCAAGTAGTCGGCCGCCACGTACGTGTTGGTGGCATACGCGGTGAAGGAAAATTCCCACCGCAGCACGCGCCTACATCCGTGTTCTTAGCGCCCTTCGTTGGAAAAAGCGATCAAATCGAACGCCATTTCGTACTTTTGGACGAGCTGGACGAGCCAGGCTTCGATGCCATCTCGCAGCACCCCCTTGGGAACCTTCTTGGCGTCCGTCTCGGGCCATTGGAGGCCTCGCTTCGTCAAGAGGCACTCGTCGACGAGCTGCTTGAGCGTAAACCGCTTCTCTCTACATCGTGCGTCATCCTACGCACGTCGGATCGCATCGAGCTGTACTTGGTCTTGGCCGATTGCAGCGTCGCGAGCACGTGCTGGGCTTGGTCCGTGCTCGGGATCGACGTCGTGGGCGGGGCGCCGTCGCAAATGTCGCACGACTGGCCGCACGCGTCGATCGTTTCGGCAAAGTACGCGCCCATGTGCACTTTTCGGCACGTCGCGCGCTCGCTGCAGTAGCTCACGATCGACGTAAAGTTGGCGGGGCCGTCGCGCTCGGCGTGGACGAGCGCAGCGACCCGGGGCACGTCCATCGGTCGGTAGTACAAAACGCAGTGGGCCGGGGCACCGTCGCGGCCGGCGCGGCCCGATTCTTGGTAGTAGCCTTCGAGCGACTTGGACAAGGTGGCGTGGATGACGAAGCGCACGTCTGGCTTGTTGATGCCGAGGCCGAACGCGATCGTCGCCACCATGACTTGGAGGTCGCCCGCGACCCACGCCGTGTGCACCTAGTACGCATGGTAGTACGCATCATACTAGTACACATCGATCCGTCGACGCACTGCATGGCGGTCGGGGTGCTGGGCGTGGTAGTACCCTGCGGCGACACCAGCGTCGGCGAGCGCGGTAGCCAACGTCTCGGTTTCCTTGCGACTGAGGCAGTAGACGATGCCGGCCGAGGTCGGCGCGAACGCCTGCACGCAGCGCACGAGGTCCTGCGTCGCGATCGCGTCCGAGGCGTCCTTGCGTCGGACTTCATAATGCAAATTCGAGCGCAGAAACGACGTGTGGAAGAACGCGCAGTGCGGGATCTCGAGGAGCTTCTTGACGTCGTCAATGACCGACGGCGTCGCGGTCGCCGTGAGTGCGAGCACGGGCACGACCGGGAACTGGCGCTTGAGGATCCCGAGCTTGGCATAATCCTACTAACACCGGGTACATAGTGTCCACCGCAGCGTACGAGGGAGTACGTGACGGAAATCGTGGCCCCACTGGCTGCAGCAGTGGGCCTCGTCAATGACGAAGCGCTGGAGCCGCTTGGCGTGGTACGCCTTCTCAAGGCGCGACATGAGCAACTTGCTGCCCGAGATCTTCTCGGGCGTCACAAAGAGCAGCAAGAGCGGCGTCTCGTCTTTGCCGACGAGACGCGCGTAAATGGCTGACGCGTCTTGGCGCGACGTCTCGCCCGTGAGCGTGCACGCGGCGCCGTCGCCGTAGATGCGGCAAAAGTGCAAAAAAGATATAGAACGGATGCAGCGTTGACGTACTTGGTCGTGGATGAGCGAGACGAGCGGCGAAACGACGACCGTAAAGCCAGCTGCCTACAGCACCACAGCAAGTCCATTCGACGCCGTCGCACAAGAGGATGGATACCTTTTCGAGCACAGCGGGAAGCTGGTAGCAGAGACTCTTGCCACCACCGCTGCGCATGATGACAAACGCGTCTTGCTTGCATAGCGTGGTCTGGATCACGGCTTCTTGCGTCGGGCGAAAGGCCTCGAGGTGAAACTAGTCGCACGAAAGCGAATGCAGCCTTGCCTGCTAGCGTACCTCGTGCTGAAGCGTCGCGGCCAGCGTCGCCGGCGTCACGACGACGGGCGCGGTGGCCTCGATGGCGTCGGTGGGCTCTGGCGCCGATGTCTTCTGGCGCTTCCGGCGCCGTCGCAGCGCATCAATCTCTTCTTGGAGCTCCATCTGCCGCTGCAGGAGCAGCTGCATCTCGTGCTCGACCTCGGCGAGCGCCGCCTCCTTGGTCGCAAGCTCGCGGTCCATGGTCTAGGGGACGAATTATCCGGTTTAACCCGCTCACTTGAAGCGAGTATGCGTGGGCAAAAGATATGACTGAGCCGGAAAGTGAGGTCAAACTTGCCTTTGACGCCGATGAACGAGTCGATCGCCCCCGTGCACAAGGCGCCCGAGCTCCAGGTCACGACCTTCCGCGACTTCCAGACCAACTGCACCCTCCTCGAGAACTCCCTCCGCGACAGCGGCTCGGACCCGCGCCCGGACCTGCAGAAGCTCCAGACCTGGGTCCGCTGGGTCAACGACGGGCACGGGTCGCCGGCCCATGAGACGTACCTCTACTCGACGTCGCTGCCGCGCGTCGCCAATGGCTTCTTACGCCGGTCTTTTGCGCGCTTCCCGGACGGCGACGTGCTCACGCAGATCGTCGGCTTTCTGCGCGAGCTGGCCATGCACCTCGTGCGCCGACTGCACACGTCGACGCAGCTCCTCGCCGACATGGAGACCTTGCACGCGCTCCTCGATCCGAGCCACAACTTTTACATGTACCATGGCGTTCCGGCGTGGAACACGGAGATCGAGGTCGAAGAAGAAGAAGCCGTTGGCGATGCGATACCGTTGGCGACGCCGCCGCAGGTGGGCGACGCCGTCGACGCATACCATGCAGGCAAGCACGTGTGGATGCAAGGCGTCGTCCTAGACATGAAGGACGAGATGGAGGTGTACGTGGGCTTTTACGGCATGGAGGCGACAGGCGACCGCTGGCTGCCTCGCGAGCATCTCGCACCCCTCGGGGCCAAGGCCAAGGAGCACCGCCGCGGCCACGGGCCAATCCGCACCGAGCTCGACGAGGATATTCCGGACGCCAACGACAGCGACCGCGCGCCGTACATGTGCGCGCTCCTCCGTCCCCGCGTGCCCTGCTCGCGCTTCTTCGTTGACGTCCTCAACGCGTTCGGCAGCGTCGGCGGCTTCCAGAAGCTCCCGCTCTTTGTGCTGCAGCCGCCTATCAACGTGGCCATGGTCGCGACCGTCGTGTCGTTGATCGCGAACGTGTTGCCGTGGGTCACGCGGCCCCTCGCACACCAGCTCGTGCGGCAGACCGAGGCGTCGCTGCACTTGCACTGCCCCGAGATGGTAGTCCCTCTTCCTTTTATTTCGCAAGGAAGCTCACAGCAAGATGGGAATAGGAGCTCCGCAACATGACCAAGCCAATGATGGACACGCTGCACGCTTGCTTCAAGAAGATCTGCCGGCGCCTCTATGTACGCCTCGACGCATCGCGCAAGGCCGACGAGCTCCTCCTCGGGCTTTGTCTCCGCTGCCTCGAAAGCGACGTGCTTGAGCACCGCCTCCACGGTCTGCGCTGCCTCACGGACTTTCTGCCGCTCATTCGCCATGCCAAGGCAAGGCAACTCACCCTATACAGACCGTATTGACCGACGCTTGTAGACGCACCCGCTCGGCGTCAAGCTCGTCGCGTCGTCGCTGGCGTCCTCGTACCCAAGTTCAGCGGCCTCGTCCTATGTGCTCATTTCGCTGCCGATCTCCGAGGCGACGGACGAAGCGTCGCTGGCCTCGTGGTGCGAGACGCACCATCTGCTCTCGCTCCTCTGCAACGCGCACGAGCAGGTCATTCGGCGCGGCGTCGATGTCGTCCGGTTCCTCTGCGAAGCGCATCGCTTTGGCTTGGCCGAGCTGCACCAGGTGTGGGACGCCGTCCTTTCCACGTCGACGGGCGCCGACGTCCGCGCGAGTCTCTTCTTCCTCCTCGAGTCGATCATCGCGTGGCTTTCCGAGCCGATCTGCAAGGAGCTCCTCCGGCTCTTGAGAGCCTACCCGACGCCCAGCGTCCACGTTGTGCACCTCGTTGGCAGCATTGCCAAGCACGCGCCGATGGACGAGCCGCTGCACTTGACGCCTCGACTGCAGCTGGAGCCGATCGAAGGCGACTTGTTCTCGCGCCATGCGGCCTGCCGTTGCGAGGCCATCGAGCTTCTCTGGGGGTACCTCCACGACACGACGGACGACGGACGGCGCCAGCTCTACGAGCCGGCCAAGGCGCAGCTCCAAGAGAGCATCGACGCCAACATTGATGCGGACGACCGCCCGTCGCTGCTGGAAGAGCCGAGTCTAAGCCCGCTCGTGCTCGACGGCGTCGTCGTTCTCTTGACGCAGTGCGTCGATCGCGTCAATGCGCATACAGATGTGCCGCAGGCGCTCGGCATCCTCGGCTACCTGCTGCATCTCTTTCCGTCCGACCACTGGAAGCTCGAGATCATTGCGTGGCTCCACGCACGCCACATTGTCCAGCACATTTTGGACGACTTGGTCGATTTCAAAGCGGCGCTGCCGATCGACGAGACGAAAGATGCGCTCGACGACATGAACGCCGCGCTCTTGCGTCGTGGCAGCCACGTGGACTTTACCGCGCACCTCAAGGCCCGCCTCGGGTTCCTCTCGCTGCTCTGCGAGCTCGTGCCGCAGTCGCACAGTCTCGCGCATTCGCACTTGGCCGTGCTCTGGGACGCGCTCTTGGTGCGCAGCGTCTTGCCGTCCGAGCGCAGCATGCTCTTCAAGTGGCTGATTGCGAACGCGATGCACTTGACGAAAAATGCGGTCGCGTACGTGTTCGAGTCGCTCTTGAGCGACGTGGGCTTCCTCAAGAGTCCGTCCTTGAGCCCACTCGCGCTTTCCTGCGTCCTCTGTTACTTTCGCTTGATGAACGACCAAGCAGGCACGCTCGTTCTCGCCCCGTCCGCCACGACGGCGCCGTGCACAACCAACGCGTTCGTGGTCCAGTCGCTGCCGCTGCGCGGCATGGACGCGCTCCTCACGATGCTGCTCGAGGCGTCGCACGCGACGGTCTTTGCGCAGACGCTGCGGTTCGTGGCGCTGCTGCCATTCAAGCTCGGACCAAACGCAGGCACGCTGGACCTCGTGACGTTGAGCTTGGAGCGCTTGGAGCCGCCGACGCTCGAGCGCGCGCTGGTCTTGCTCTCGACGTTTGTCGGCACGGACGTGGCGTCGGCGACAGCCCTCGCCACCGGACGCTGGGTGCCCCACAGCAGCAATTCGCGCGGCTCGATGCTCACGCTGCTGCTCTCCAACTCGATCAAGGGCACGCCGACGGTCGGTGCAAAGGTGCCGCTCGTCGTGTACGCGAACGACACGGTGCTGCAGATGCAGGTGGCAGCGACGCTCGCGCTGCAAGTGCCCATGGCCGTACAGTACCTGCGCTTCTTCCGCGCGGGCCGCGAGATCCAAGAGCTCACGCGCTGCTTGTCGCTGTCCGACGCCGGGTTCAAGGACGGCGATACAATCCTCGTCTCGCAGCGACCCAACTTGACGCCGGCGAGTGCGACCGAAAGCGACCTGCCGATCGTCTTGTCGCCAACGTTGTTTCCGAAGCTCCTGAGCCTCATGGACTCGCACGTGGAGGCGTGGAACCTCCTCTTGCGGCTGCCAACGCCTGCGTCGGTCGTCGATGCAATCCGCAAGCACGAAAGCGAGTGGTCGGCGCTGCTCTCGTCGAGCCACATGTCGCAGCTGCTGTACCGTCTCCAAGTGCTCGACGGACTCTTGGTCGAGAGCCGCTTTTTGGATTCGTTTGTGGCGACGCACGGACCCTCGTGCATCCTAAAGACGTTCCTGTCCTTGCGCGCCGACAGCGGCGCCTCGGGCTTTGAAGCATACGTGCAGCACGAGTCGGCACTGGTCTCTCTCCGGCTCCTCACACGCTTCCTCTATGACGGCGCGGCGGTGCACTTTCCCAAGCAGCTCGAGTGGGACGCGGACTTGTGGGTGACGTCGGACCTCGCGACGCTACCCGCTCGGATCCTCGCTGCGTACGACAACTGCGTGACGCCGTCGACCACGAAAGCGCCGGGCATCGTCTGGGCCAACGACGACATGGCGGCGCTCTGCGACGCGTGCTTGCTCTGGATGCAAGTCTGCGTGCAAAATGATCTGCACGGCCTCCTCGATACGCTCTGCACGCTCTTTGTGTTGGCAGCACCGACGTTCCAGCGGCTCCCGTCGTCGGCAGTTCTCCATGGCCTCGTCAGCACGCAGCGTCCGATCCGTCTCCTCATTGCGCATACGCTCGTGCTCTTGAGTAAAACCACGGATGTGGCGTTGGATGCCGACACAGCGGCCGCCATCGTACTCCTTTTGCGCGAGTTTGAAGGCGACTCGGTCGAGTACGTGACACTGCTGGGGCTCTTCGTCCTCGCAGCGGGCGACGTCGTGGAGAACGCGGCGACGCTCTTCGAGTCGTACGCGACGAGCGTCTCGTGCCCCGTGACATCGGCGACGTTCCTCAGCGACGTGCCGCACACCCAACTGTTTGGGGACCCACTGCCGACGCCGCTCGAAGGTGCGCTCTTCGTGCTGCGCTGCACCCTGCACAGCAGCCGTAAACTGCAGACGTTCCAGCCACAGCTGCTCCTCGACCTATGGCACGCCGGCTTGTTTGCCTACCCGACAACGAGTGACGGACCGTGGCACCCACGCTGCAGCACGCCGTCGAGTCGCCACGCGGCGTTCCAGCTGCTCTTGGATCTCTGCAACATGCCGTCGACGACGTCGCTTTTGGAGAACGGCAACCTGGCGTTCGTGATGGAGCAAGTGCCGCCGATTCTGGCGACCCTCACGCGCGTGTACGAGGACTGGGAGTGGGCCTTTGACCCGCACAGCGTCATGAAGTCGAGCACGGGGCGCGTCGGCCTGCGCAACCTCGGCTGCACGTGCTACCTCAACTCGACGCTGCAGCAGCTGTTTTACATGCCGCGCTTCCGCGACGCGATCTTGTCGCTGCCCGTGGACCCGGGCATGGACGTCGTGACGCAGACGCAGCGGCTCTTTGGGCACTTGGCCGCGACGGAGCAAAAGTGCGTCGACCCGACGCCGCTCCTCCACTGCCTCCACGACGAGGCCGGCGGCCCCCTCAACGTCATGATGCAGCAAGACGCGGAAGAGTTTCTGACACGGTTTGTGGACGGCGTGACTGAGTACCTCAAGACGACGCCTGCACATACGAACGCACTCGACGCGGTGTTTGGTGGCACGCTCTGCACGCAGCTGTGCTGCCAAGGCGGGTGCGGCTCGGTGCGCGAGACGGCCGCGACCTCGTTTGTGTGCATGACGGTCGAGGTCAAGGGCCACGACAGCCTTCTCTCGAGCTTGCGCAATTGGAGTGCGGGCGAGATGCTCAGCGGCGTCAACTGCGACGCGTGCGGGAGCAAGCAGGACACGATCAAGCGCGACTGCGTCGAGACGGCGCCCGAGACTCTTCTCCTGCACCTCAAGCGGTTTGAACTCAACTTTGACACGTTTCTGCGCGAAAAGGTCAACGACGCGTTTGCGTTTCCACTGAGCTTGGACCTGTTTCCGTACACGAAGGCGGGTCTCGATGCGCCGGACGCCCACGCGTCGACGCTGTACTACGACCTCGTCGGGTGCGTCGTGCACCTCGGCAGCACCGAGTCGGGGCACTACTACTCGCTCGTGCTGGACCGCGTCTCGGGCAAGTGGCTCGAGCTCAACGACGACACGGTCTCGTACTTTGACCTGCGGCTCATGGAGTCCGAGTGCTTTGGCGGGCCCGACGCGTCCGGCAGTAGTAGTCTGCTTCTCAACACCAAGAGCGCGTACATCCTCGTGTACGAGAAGCAAGGGTCGGCATCGTCGCTCGCGACGATGTCGCTGCCGTCGGGGCTCGCCGACGACCTCCGTCGCGAAAACAAGGCATTTGTCCAAGCGTGCTATGCGCACGACCCCAACTTTCTCGCCTTTCTAAGTGCCCTTCTCACGCGCCTCCCGCCCCAAGACGAGATTGGCGTTGACGCGCCGCTGTCACCGTTTCTGCACGCGTGCGTGCGGGGCATGCACGTGTACGCGCGCGCGCACGTGCTCAAGCCGCTGCCGCTGATTTCACTCCTGACGACGCAGCTGCGGTCGCCGACGCTGTGCCAATCGCTGCTCGCGCAGTACGCGTCGCACCCGTCGCATGTCGTCGAGATGCTCTTGTACTGCCCGAAAGCAGCGGTGCGGTCCGAGTTTGCGGCCTTTCTGAGCCACTTGGTCGTCGGATCGCTGCCGGTCGAGGGCGAGTTGCTCGCACTGGGGCTCACGGGGCCGTCGCTGTTTGGGAAGCTCTTGGACCAGCTCTTTACGCTCTCGATGCTCGATGCGATCGTGCTGAGCTGGCGCACGATGGGCGAGTTCTTTGAGTTTTTCAAAGGCGCCGCGCTCGCCGACGCGCGCTGCCGCGACCTCATGCGCATGCACAAGTGCGGCATGTACCTCCTCGACCTCTTCCTCGGCGAAGCAAGCCCGCTCATCGGGTCCGTTTACCCGCCCTACTCGCGCAAGCGGCTGCCCAAGGTCCCAAGCAGCCACCTCACGCCGATCCTCGAGCTTGTCGCGGTGCTCTACGAAGGCCAGTCGCCGACGAGCTTGGACGCGGAGACGCGGTCGTGCCTCCTCCTCAAGACGCTGTACGTGCGCATGTTCCAGTGCGCCGACCACGCGAAAGCGCTCGCGACGCTGCTCGTCGAGTGGTGCACCGAGTGGGACGCGTTCACGCAGTCCGTCATCGACGTCGTGGGCCACGTGCTCTCGACGCTCCAGATCTCGACGACCTCGAGTCTGCTCGGGCTCTGGGTCGTCCTCGACCCTTTCTTCGGACTCGAAGACTCGCTCCAAGGCCGGCGCGCGCACGACTGCCTCGTGCTCATGTGGCGCAGCATCCAGTCGCATCGCGGCGTCCTCGCCCAAGCGCAGGTCGACCTCTCGCACCGCGTCACGACGCAGGCTCAATCTCTGGATTAGGCAATCGGGCTGCTCCTCGCGCTCGGGTCAGTCCATGCCCACGTCCACGCCGAGCTCCAAGCAACCCTCGGCGTCTGGGGCCCGTGGGTCGGGCCGCTCCTCGCGACAGTGCGCAAGCAGCCGTGGGCGTTTGACGTGACGACTCGCGACGGATCCTCTCTCGAGTGGTGCCACGCGCTCTCGTATGACCGCGTCGCACAGTACATTGCCGAGGCCAACCTCTGCGTGCCGTGGCTCGAGGTACTTTGTGCCACTGTGTTCTGAGTGCGACCGACGTTGTAGGCGCCGGCTGAAGACGAAGCCGACGACCGACTGCACGCGGATGCAGACGCGACGGCCTTTCTCTGGGACAACAGCCTCGACTAGACGTCCAAACGATGTGGATTTATATACATACTCGTATTCTGCACGGAATCTACTCGACGGCAATGTCGACGGTCGGGCGCAGCTGCAAGCACTTGTCCAACACCTTGTGGATGTTGTGCGATTGGAACGCCTGCAAGCGCGCATCGCGGCCAGCCAGCTCCTTGTTGTCGACGTTGACAAAGGCCTGCTCGGTCAAAATGTAGTCGAAGCGAGGCGCCCACTTGCGGCTCCCGAGACGCGCGGTCGTCGAGCAGTTGTCGACCATGTACGCGACGCCCCGCGCGTGCATGTACGGGTTGAGCGAGTCGGTCGACTCGATCACCGACTCGTTGGCGACCTCCGAGTAGCAGTGGCCGTGGTCCAAGAGCACGTCGATCTGCGCCATCATCATGGCCACGTACGTGCCGCTCGTGAACGGATCGAGCGGAATCTGCGACGGCACACGCGCCGCGCGGACCTTCTCGCCGACCTTCCACGTGAACGTGCCGTCGAGCTTGCCCATGGGGAACTTGTCGTGGCGGTCGACCGCCATGTTGACCGACTTGATCTCGTTGCCCGACGCGACTTCGTCGTAGATCTCCTCGAGGATGTCGCGGCACGGGCCATAGGCTGCCACGTACGCGTCTTCAAAGGTCGTCTTGTCCTTGCCCGAGAACTGGTCGGCGACGGCCTTGATGCCGTGGTGCGAGATGATCGTGTTGAGCGGACCGGTGATGCACTCGGCCGCGTGCAAGAAAGAGTCTTCGGGCGACTTGCCCTGGCCCATGTAGCGGCGGAAGAGCGCCTCGATGAGGCCGTGGACGCCGCCGAGGAGGATACCGCGCTCGCCAAAGATGTCCGACTTGTACTCGTCCGTCAACGTCGTGTAGAACGAGTAGGGCGACCCGAGCGCGACGCTCCAGCCGAGCGCGTGGTCGGCCGCGCGACCGTTGACGTCCTGGTGGATGGCGACACTGGCGTTGATGCCGGCGCCGTTGACCTCCTTGCCTTGGACGTAGAGGCGGCGGACACTCGGGCCCATGCCCTTGGGCGCGACCATGACGACGTTGATATCCTTCGGGAAGGATTCGTGCACCGTGTTGAGGTGGCCGAGGAGGTAGCCGTGCGAGAGGCCGAGCGTCGCGCCCTTCTTGAGCAACGGGAAGAACTTGGGGTAGAGCGACACACACGCCGCATCACTCGTGAGGAGCAGCACCATGTCCGACTCGGCGATCACGTTGTACATCTCGCCGAGCGAGTTGGACTCTTCGGTGAAGCCCACCGCGCGGGCCTTGGCGGCCGAGCTCGAGTTTTCGCGGAGGCCAACCTTGACGTTGATGCCGGTACCTTCGAGCGAGTCGCGGATGTTCTGGGCCTGGGCGGGCCCTTGCGAGCCCCAGCCAATGACGCCGATCTGCTTGACGCCTTCAAAGGCCTTGGGCAGCTGGGCAAAGAGGTGGCGGCCGCCCGGCAGGATGTGCTCGGTGCGGTCGGCCATCTGGACGGCCTGGATGTCGGCGCCGAAGGCCTTGGACGCGGCGAAGGGCGAGGCCGTCGACATGGAGCGACGGGCGATCGTGGCGGGCGACGAGCGGAGGCTGCGGAACATTGGAAATTGGAATGTGCCACCGACGGATATCTTTACGAAGATCGCGCAATCCGATCGTATCCGGATAGCCTTGATTCCACAAACATCGCTTATCCGGACGTCCACCACTTCAACATGATTGCGCAACGCCGTGTCGAGTGGTCCGACGTCGTCCGACTCGCTGTTGCTGCGTGCATAATACGAGCGAACGCAACTGGTGAGCGATCGACCCCACGGTGCTAGTCACTGTTAATTAGTCGTTTCGTTCTATAGTCGTTGAGTTAGTTTATCGTCGGACGCCAACTCGGTCCTTTTGCTGTCGCTGCACACCAGAAGACTTTTCTGCCGTTTTGCGCAATCGAATCAAACGAATCAAGCCGCTGGCTCTTGAGCTGTCCGGTTAAGCTTGATTTGTTGACATTTGAGCGGTCATGAATTATCGTGCGGGTGTGAAGCGCTTTGTTCGGACCGCGCAGACGTTCTTGTGGCCTCGCAGTCGAGATTGCCTACTGAGTACCGTTTGCATCGATGCGGAAGTCAGCCAGTCCCAACAGCAGCGGAGAGGCGGTGACGGACGTGGTTGCGTGACAGGTGACTGGAATCTACTACACATTATATTGACGCAGGATTTAGTTGGCGGGCGTGCCCTTCTTGCTCTCCGTGCGCTTGAGCGTCGTGACTTCCTTGAGGATGTCCTGGTCCAGCGTCTCGTCGCGGTGCGGCGAGAGCTCGCCCGTCGCCTCGAGCAAGTCGCGCTTCTGCTCGACCCAGTTGACGAGTTCCTCGAGCGAAACTATTCAAGAGACGACGACACCTGATCAGCCATCGATGATCCTAGAATGAATGCAACGTACTCTTGCCGTCCTTGTCCTCGTCGATCTGCGACACGATCCACTCGGCGGCCTCCTCCGTTTTGTTCTTGCGCAGAATCGTCATGACGGCCGTCTTGAACTCGGTCACGTCGACGACGCCGTCCGAATCGCGATCGAGAATGTTGAGGCGGTCGCCCACGTCCTTGTCGACCTTGTCGAGCTCCACCTCGAGCTTCGAGAGCATCGAGTCGAGCTTCTTGAGCATGAGGTCGGCCGTCTTGTTCTCCTTGACGGCGCCAATGCGGCCGGCCGCGAGGAGGCCCTGGACGTCCATCGCGCTCTTGTCGATCTTCATCTTGGCCATGACCTGGCGTTCCTTCTCAACGAGCGACTTGAACGCCAGCGACTCGAGCGCGCTCACTTCTTCGAGCGTCAGCTTGCGTTCTTGCTCCTAGCGACCAATCTTCGTATCAACCTCCACGTCTTGATACAAGAAAAGAACGTACGAGGACGCTGGACGGCATCGCATCGACGGACGAGACGCGCTCGGCCGGCAACGTCTCCGAGAGGTTCTTGATCTCCGCGACGCGCGACTGGTCGAGGGACGCCTCGAGGAGGTTGTCCATCTCGATCTTTTCCTGTTCGAGCTGCTTGCTCTCGTGGTCTTCCTGCTTCTTGGTCGCTTCGTCGTCCGAGCGCTTCTTGGCTTCCTCGCGGAGCTTCTCCTCGTCCGCAATCATCTCGTTCTGGTACCGAATCGACTCGAGCTGCAGTTCCTTGATCTGGAGCTTATCGGCGGTCGTCGCCGCGCCCGACGACGACGGCTGCTTGGCCGCCAGCGCCACTTCGGTCACGACTTCTTCGTCCATGCTCGAGAGCGACGCCGCAAGCGCTGCCTCTGGACTGTCGACCGACGTGATGTTCATCGCGCGCGACAGAATCAGCAGCGACGCCGGCACGTTCTTGTTGATCGAGAGATCGAGCCACTAGAAGATGCATGAGACGACGCGACAATCCTGAGATGAGATGAATACCTGGCGCATCTGCTTGACGTAGCCGCCCTTGGTGAGGCCCGTCGCACGCATACCACGCTCCATGCACGCAATCTGAAGCTCTTCCTTGTTGAGCGAGTCGAGGCCTTCCCAGATGATTTCCTAGCCCATGCTCAGTAGAGGAATGAGATGCAGTAGTACCTGGTCGTCCTTCTTGAGCGCGCGGATCTTCATGCGGAGCTGGAAGCGCAGGAAGTTGTCGTTGCCGTACGGGTTGACGCCCATGTAGCGGCACATCCCCACGAGCTGCGGCCGCGAGATGTTGTCGAGCGTCACTTCGTCGTTGAAGAGGTACGCGATCTTGAGCGTCTCCTCGCTGCTCAGCGGCTCGCCGCGCTGCGCACGCTCGATGAAGCTCATGACCTCCTTGGCCGTCGCGCGCTTCTCCTCCGTGAGGCCTTCCGTGTCGCGCGTGTCCTGCATGACGTCCTTGACGGTCTCTTGGAGGAACTCGGCCAGCGACACGCGCAGCTGGAGCTGGCGCTTCATGTCCTCTTCGCGCTGAAAGTCGTGCTTGTACGTGCTTGGGAGCATGTTCGGGAACATCTTGAGCGCAAACGGAAGCAAAAGCTCCATGAAGGGCACGACGACAAGAACGCAAAGGGCACGAGGCGCAGCAAGTCGGCGACCGTGCGCTGGAGCTGCTTGCGCTCGCGGCGCGAGAGCGCGTTACCCTTGAGCACGCGGCGCAAGATGCGCGTCGACGTCGACACGTCCGCGTACAGCAGCTTGGTGCCGATCCAGTAGTGCTTAAGCTCGTGGCCAATGTGTTCCTTGGTCTCCTTGAGCCATGCCTGGACGCGCGCCGGCTCCTGGATGCAGAGCCGGACCCACTCCTTCAGCGTCTTGGCCGCGCTCAGCACCATGGACGGCGAGTTCTTGACGAAGCTCATTGCCTTCTGAGAGATCTTCTCGTCGAGGTTCTGGAGATCCTTGACCTGGAACCCGCGCTCGCCGACCTTCTCGAGCGCCTTGTCCAGACGGTCTTCCTGCTCGTGGATGAAGCTCGAGTTGCGCCGGCGAAGCGTCACGTTGGGCTTCTTAGCATCCGTGCTCATGAAGCGCGCGTGCTGGAACGGCGACGTCGCATGGGCGTAGTGCAGGCGGGGCGTCACCGCCACCAAGGCGGCGCTCGAGGCCAACGAGAGGCCATGGGCGGCCTCCTGCAGCGCGAACCGCCGGGGCGTGAGGCGGAGCTTGTCCTCACGCTCGCTCGAGGTGGGCATGGCGGAGAAGGCCGCATGCGCCCACGTCGGCGTCTGGCGCCGGGGCACGGACTTGGTCAAGGCGGCGCGGAGCATCTCCCTGGTCAACGAGCCAAATTGAGTTGTATGGCCAGGCTGCTTTTTTAATACGAGTGGGAATATTAATAAAATACACTGGATTTTGAGCTAAAAAAATGACTGCGACCGCCTATGTACCAAGCAAAGTATACAAACATGCAAAGAATTACGGCGAATTCCTCCGGTTGGACAGAAAAGAACCAATCAGAAGCATTTTTTCAATGAAAGCAGCCAATCCGTAATGTGGAGCCGGATAGTATCCGGATATCACAACCAACCAGCAGCAGGCCGCACCATCATTCCCGTGCCGAGCCGTCACTCTTGCATGACACGGGGGCCGTTGGGAACATCACAAGGAGCGCATCATGATGGTCGTTGCATACCGGTCGACGCCTGTACATGGCTACGAGTGATCAAGTCATTCTAGCACAGCTCGAATCAGCTGCTTGCACACGTTTTGGTGCTGCGGAGGGGGACCCGGGGTGATAGGCCCCAGCCTCGCCTTGCGGCACGTTTGCGGTTGATCCATCTGCGATCTATGAACATTTGGGTGGCTTTCACCGTGCTACTGGCATTCTAGTCGTTTAGTATTACTATTAGGTAGTCTACTAGTGCATCCGTGTGCTTGAATTGCGTGACAGAGTCTCGACACCAACGGCCCTTGGTGTCGCAGACAAGCGCCTCAAAGATCCTCGATTAGCCCACCGTTCGTTGCTCCCGCGCAGCTTGAACAGATAGTTCTATTGTGTTATATCCATGGCGCCCATGATGTACTGTTGGCTACGTAAATTTAAAACGCGCTTTAAGTGGTAACCACCAACAACACGAATTTCATCGGGAATTCCATGCTCCCGGCATGAGCTCAAGGCATGAGCTCGTGAGTCTGAGCACGATGTCTGGATCAATGATCCAGACGACGTCCACTACTAGTACACTCAAAGGCATTGTCCAGACTCACGTGGTCATGCCTTTGGTGCCAGTCAGGGTGCCAGTGTCCTTTCAGATGTGTGACAGATTGGAGCTATCAGCGGGAAAGAAAAATTCAGTCTCGAGCTAAACGAGTTTGGACTTTTGAATCCGAGATGGCGTCGCCAGCGCAAGCGTGCGCGTTTGCTGTCAACGAAATCATGGCGACCGTCGCGCAGACCGCGGGCGTCTCGTCGTGCGCGCTCGTGGCGCAGGTCACGTCCGGCTCGTTCAACTCGGCCGCCGTCGCGTCGTTGGACTGCAAGAGCACCATTTGCAGCTTCCTCCTCGAGACGCTAGCGACCGGCTTTGCCTCGTCCGCGCTAGCAACCTGCACGTTGCACGACAGCGCAAACAACAGAGACGTTCTTGTCGGGGACATTGGCGGTCTCTGCTCGGGCGGGAGTCTCCGGACGGCGACCACGGCCCGCCCGACGCCGACGCCGGTGCCGGAAACCAACAGCTCGGGCATGATCATCGGTATCATTGTTGCAATCGTTGTCGTCATTGTGATCGCAATCGGCCTTTGCTTGCGGCGTCGAAGAACCAAAGAGACGCACCCCCGCTGCCCTCCACGGCAGCTTCGTACGCATCGCCATCGTCGCTTCCGATGAGCTACACCAATCAGAGCTACCCAACCTATGAAGCCGGGGGTACACAAGCCTCGATGTCGCCGCCGGGAGCTGTACGAGCGGCAGCACAACCTCGACGCAGTCGGAAGGCTCGCTCGATATGTGCCATCTCGAAGCGTACCGGCTGCCGACGACCGACATCACCATGGTCAAGTCGTTGGCGCGCGGCGCGTACGGCGAAGTCTGGCTTGGACGACAGCGCGACAGAGTCGTCGCCGTCAAGAAGCTCCTCGGGCACAAGCGGGACAAGAACGAGCTCCAAAAGTTCATTTACGAAATAGCACTTTTGGCCAAGTTGAATCTCCCTCGCACTACTGCAGGATCGCTGACCTTGCTCTCTGTAGGCTCGACTGCCCGTTCATTGTGGCGTTTGTGGGTGTCGCCTGGACGCGCCCGAGCGACATGCTGCTCATCACCGAGTACATGGATGGCGGCGACCTCCGCAACCTCCTCGCATCGACCCAGTCATTTTCGTGGCCGCAGAAAGTCCACGTCGCTCTTCACATTGCCGAGGCGCTCGTCTACCTCCACTCGCTCGAGCCAAAGATCATTCACCGCGACCTGAAATCGCGCAATGTGCTCCTCAACACCAAGTTGGACGCCAAGTTGACGGATTTCGGCGTCTCGCGCGAAACGGACGACGCGACCATGACCGCCGGCATTGGCACGTACCGCTGGATGGCGCCCGAGGTGCTCCAAGACGGCCACTACACCGAGTCGGCCGACGTGTTTTCGTTTGGCGTGATCCTTGCCGAGCTCAGCAACGAGATCGTGCCGTACTCGGACTTGCGAAATGTCAACGGCAACCCGTACACGGACACGGCGATCATGGCCAAGGTCATGAAGGGCGAGCTCCAGCCGACGCTGTCGCCCGACTGTCCGCAATGGTACGTCGAGCTGACGCAGCGGTGCATGCAGCTAAGAAACTTCGACCGACCGAGCGCGTTGGATGTCGCTGTCGTCCTTCGTCGGTCCTGTGCCGCACTGCGGTAGTAACACTTTGGAATAAAAATCTCGTGCGTGACGCGCCTTCTGACAACTTGAACATACCCTTGCACGCAAGGCCGCACTCGTCGCTCTCTTGACCCAAACAAATCAGCATGGATTCTGTGTTTCGCTTTGCCAGCGTGGATGACATGGACGAGTAAGGTTCCTGGCGAGGCTAACTGACGAGCTCCAAGCATCGCCAAAAGTCTGCAGGGGCGTCCTTTCCATCGTCTTCGGTGCTACGAACCGCATCGTCGACGTTCGAGCTCATTCCCGCGCGCATCGAAGCCATCTGGTTTGCCATATGCGCGGTGGGCCCGACGGATTTTCGGCTCGATGCACACAGGCTCGGGCCTTCCTGCTGATGCCAAGTATGCTGCCTGGTGTACTGGACCCACTTGGCCCTGCATGCTAGCATACGGGATCGCCCACTTGGCATAAACTGCTGCCATAACAGGATATCACCATGTCCACGTCGTGCGCCACGCTAGCCAACTCATTCATGGCGCCCGTCGCCGCGCAGCCATCGCTCGCCTCGTGCACGCTCGTCAAGATCTACAAGACGAGCGGTCTCTTCAGCTCGTCGACCTTCAAGGCCACGGACTGCAAGAGCTCTGCGTGCACCATCATCTACCAGGGCCTCGCTGCTTTCTTCACGAGCTTCCCGGACTGCTCGTTTGTCGACTCGGACTCCAACACCAAAATCCCCTTGTACGAGCTTGGCAACATTTGCACGGGCACGTCGATCAAGACCACGGCGCCATCAAGTGGCTCGTCCAGCGGGAACCCTTGGACACCGACACCAACGTCAGGTCGCGGCTCGCTCTCGGGCAAGACCCCGTCGTCCGGGTCTGCATCGACCTCGTCAAGCAGTAGCAGCAGCTCGACCACGATCATCATTGTCGTCGTCGCCGTCCTCGTCGTGCTGGCGATCATCGGTTTCTGCTGCTGGCGCAACAAGCACAAGAAGCAACAAGAGGAAGCGGCTGCGATGGTATTCGCGTCGCCCATTGGTTACCCGACGCACGACTACGAAGCAGCCAACACGACAACCGCGTACTCGGAGCCAACGTATCGCCCGGACCAAGCGTATACCTACCAACCCGAGCTTAACTCGGTGCACGTGTACCAGGAGACGGCGCCCGTGCACGTGTACGACCCCGACGCCGCCAAGCAGACGATGCAGTCGACCGGCACTGTGACGGCAACGCGCACCGCCGGCAGCACCACTGGCACCAAGACAGGCGCAAGCTCGACGTCCGTGCAGTCGGACGGCGCGGGCCTTGATATGTGCAACCTCGACATGCACCGCGTGAACGTGAGCGATATCTCGATGATCAAAGCGCTGGCGCAAGGTGCGTTTGGCGAGGTCTGGCTCGGGACCCTTCAAGGCTCGATGGTCGCGGTCAAGAAGCTTCTCAACCACAAGCGCGACAAGAACGAGCTCCAAAAGTTCATTTACGAAATCGCCCTCATGGCCAAGTACACGCTACTCTCTCGATGCAGTGTCTGACGTCTCTGGTTCAACTAGGATCGAGAGCAAGTACATTGTGACCTTTATCGGTGTCGCCTGGACGCGCCCGAGCGACATGCTGCTCATCACCGAGTACATGGACGGCGGCGACCTCCGCAACCTCCTCGCATCGACCCAGTCATTTTCGTGGCCGCAGAAAGTCCACGTCGCTCTTCACATTGCCGAGGCGCTCGTCTACCTCCACTCGCTCGAGCCAAAGATCATTCACCGCG